CCGTGTCCCCGCCTGGTTTTCACCCTTATGCGCGGACCTCGGAGAGGGCAAGGTGCCCTGGTCACCCGGGGAAAGCAATAGCCTGGTGAGGAAACCAGAGTGTGTTTCCTGACATAAGGAGACCGCCTCTGTGGTCTTGTGGTAGAGCGTCCGCCCGGAGAGCGGAAGGTCCAGGGTTCGATCCCGGGCCGCGTCATACAAAAAGACGTTAAAAGATTGTACTTGTTGTTACCCTGTCTGGCGCTCGGCATTAAGGGGCTAAAACAAGGACTGGTCGGCTCGGAGTCAGTATACTGTGTCTGAGTGGGGTATTCATGTTAAACTGCGGCATGGTATCTCAGTGAGCTAGCACTATAAATCGGCATCAGTCCGGACTAGTACAAGCAGCCACACACACACATACACGTGCATGCACGTCGCTATGTAAGTGCAATAATCTTGGACGCGACGTTAAACCCAATTTCACCTCACCTCACCTCACATAAGGAAACACAGCAAACTAAGTACTTAACCAATACGGGAGATGTAAGTACCCACATAAAGCACTGAAGATAAGATATCCAACGGCTCCAGTTAAGATTTACAGACAGAAATGTACTAGTACAATTACAAGTACTAGATAATCCCGCTACTGCGTGAAAATCTATGTTGCTAAAACAATTCCAATGCATGAATAAGTTTGCAGACATACACGAGATAACATATAACATACGTGATACAAATATGCGATTAAACCGCTAGCGAATAACAATAATGGGTCACAAATTTTCTAACAATGAATTTATAATATTTATATATGGCCTAGCTTGTATGGATATAATCATAAAACCTGTATCTGTCGTTCGGAATACCCCGTGTTAAATATTTCGTGGTTGCATGATTAGACAACACATTCCGACAGTCACTTTCATGATCTGGTAAGCGACGCTCTGATTGGTTGGATGAAAGGTCGCTCTGACGTGACCCGTAATTGGATGTCCTCAGATCTTTGTTTAGCGATAGCGAGAACTAAGATCTGATTTTAATGAGATTGCGCCAGACTTTACGTGGGAAGCCTACAAATAGGAGAGAGGGAAGCGGCGCGGTCACTAGACCGTGACCAGTCTGGTTTTACGACTCAATGGCACTCATGATGTCAGTCACTGGTCAAGAGTCGATGATTTGCAGACCGGAATATAGAATGCACAGCTGCAATATTGCTGAGTGCGGCGTTAAACAACAAATTAACCAGGTCGGTAAAATCGGACGGTTTATATGTGTAGTCGTATACAAGTTGAATACACAGTACACACTGTAGACGGGATCGCAATCAGGGCGTAATACATCGAGCCGTGTTTTGATGATTCGATTCGGTACCAAATGACATCGACACGTGAAGATCCGGATTAGTTTTGGTCCTCAGCAGTCCATGCTTATCGAAAGTGAGTGAGTGAGTGAGTGAGTATGGTTTTACACCGCCTTTAGCAATATTCCAGCAATTTCACGGCTTGGGACACCAGAAATGGGCTTCACACATTGTACCCATGTCGGGAATCGAACTCGGGTCTTCGGCGTGACGAGCGAACGCTTTAACCACAAGGCTACCCGACCGCCCCTTATCGAAAGAAGCGAATTACAGAATCGGGTGGCCAGGCTCGCTGAGTTGGTTGATGCATGTCTTCGTATCCCAATTACATGGGTCGATACTCATGATATCATTCACTGGATTTTCTGGTCCAGATTCGATTAATTACAGACCGTCGTCATATATAGCTGGAATACTGTCGAGTGCAGCGTTAAAAAACCAAACAAACAAAAACCAAAATGACATCACATTCACGCCGCACTCAGCAATATTCCAGCTACATGACGGCGGCCTGAAACAAATCGAGTCTGGTCCAGTCAATCCAGTTATTGTCATGATGAGCATCCATCAACGTAACTGTGATACGATGACATTCATCAACCAAGTCAGCGAGCCCGATCACCAGATCCCGTTATATCAATACTAGCGATCCGAAATTGTTGATATGTATTGCCTCGATGTGGCACTCCCAAAAGGGGATAAGAAATGATAAGATAATTATGAAAGCAATGATTTGTGTTTTGGCACACATGACTAACCTACTTTCTGTCAGCTCTGCCAACTCAGGTATTACTCCTGGTTTTAAAGAACACACACGTGTCCGTCTTTATCAGTCCGTCGTCTGAATGGTGAAGACCGCACCGAGAGTTGTACATGTGTTGTGCCGGGGATGTCGAGTGGTCCAAGACGCGGAGTTTTGAGTTTTGTTTTGTGTCTCTGAAACGCCACGATGCTCTATTTGTGAATTCGAATCCTTGATTCCCCCAGACCCTTGAAGATCCAGGGCGCAATAGGTCTTTAGCAACCAATGTTTGCCGTGAAAGGCGACTAACGGGATCGGGTGGTCAGTCACGCTGACTTGGTTGACGCATGTCATCGTATCCCAATTGCGTGTATCGATGCTCATGATGTCAATCACTGGATTGTCTGGTCCAGACTCGATTATTTACAGACCGCCGTCATATAGCTGGAATATTTGTGAGTTTGGCGTTAAAACAACAACAAAACAACCAAGCATAACAACAAAACCAATTTTGTCGTTAAACAACAAACCAACAAAACATGGTTTTATTAGATACCTTCTTTTCCCCGGCAGTTAAGTAGCCTCCCTAGCCCTGCTTAGATTCAGGTAACTCCAATAACATGGGCACTTCCAGTCAAATTTTGTGAGTGGCAGGTGCTACCAGTAGGGCAGGACAGGCTTACTCTTTTCGCGAACACCTGATGTCATCACTGATTTTCAGTGATCCATTCATATAATTTCCATCGCCTTTTGCCCTTAAGAACAATGGAATCTGTTTCGGCAGATAATCGAGACTGGTTATTTTCTTGCGTTAACGTTATACATTTTCATTTTCTTGCGACCGAACTTGCACCTCCTGTATAGGGCCCGGTTCCACAAAGCTAACGTAGCCATGAGACGATCGTAACTCCCATATTGCAACATAGACTTACGACAGTCGTAGCACTGAGGCGATCGTAACTCCCATATTGCAACATAGACTTACGACAGTCGTAGCACTGAGACGATCGTAACTCCCATATTGCAACATAGACTTACGACAGTCGTAGCACTGAGACGATCGTAACTCCCATATGGCAACATAGACTTACGACAGTCGTAGCGCTGAGACGATCGTAACTCCCATGCTTCAATACAGACTTACGACAGTCGTAGCGCTAGGATTACTTGGTGGAAGGGGACCCAGGCTGTTCAGTGTGTACCACGGGGCACTAGAGGCTGCCTTTAAACCACTGTGCGTCTTCAAAATATGTGAAAAGTATATGAGTATACAAGTATTCGGGGGCTTATGCGCTGAACGTTCTTGTACCCACCTCGAACGACTTACGAGCTGTGGGTTCTGGAAGTTAATATGTAAGCTACATATGTGACCCAGGACTTCTTCATTTCATGAAATTTAAGCTGATGCTCAGGTACGTCTAACGCAATATGAGAAACTATTCAACAATTCAATAATTCACCTATTTCACGAAAACGATCTGAAATGAACGAATCAACGGACCTCGTCGGTCGTTTTCGGAATGTGTTTTAACAGGACGGCAACCTGCCAATCCAACAGCTCGATTGTATGATCAGTAACACAATATATGACATCTGTTTCCCCCTGTTCAAGAAAGTGGACGTATTATGCATTGTTTGAGATAAAATACAGTTTACATAACTGTTTTAGCATCAGGGCGACCTTCCTCTGCATTGTTTGTTTGTTTGTTGTATCACGCAGCATTCGCCAATATTCCAGCTACATGACGGATTTTGGTAAATAATCGAGTCTGGACCAGACAATCCAGTGATTGACATGATGAGTATCGCTCTACGTAATTGGAATACTGTGACATGCATCAACTAAGTCAGCGAGCCTGACCACCGAATCCCGTTAGTCGCCTCTTACGACAAGCACTGTCTCCTCTCCAAGCACCGACAAGATGACTTTTGTTATAACAGATGGTATATTTCGGATAACACTTTCGCAGTAAAGTACAGATTCTCGTACTATTGGGGGTTGAATCCGGTCTGTAACATTTCACCACTTCCTAAATGGCACTGTGTGTTCATAGCTTTCGGCCATGGGAGCTGTGCCACTTTACACTTGTCAGAGGGGTACACAAAGTACGTGATCTAGACTACCAGTTGTCGGACTTTCATTTTTGTGAAAGCCTCGGTGGCTGAGTGGGTTAGATCGCTGGCTTTGTGTGATGGCAACTAGGTGCCCCACTCTGGCAGTGTGGATTCGAATCCCGGACGATACTCAACCCCCAAAAGTACGAGAATCTGTACTTTACTGAGAAAGTGTTATCCCAAATATAACATCTGTTACATTTGACCACTTTCTAAATGGCATTGTGTGTTAATGACTTTTGTTATGTTGTACCAATTATATATAAGCAGCGAAAATACTGTCTTTGTACTGTCTGAAGATTAATCAAGAATAATAGACCTATGACCGTAGGTTCGAATCCCGGTTCTCTCAAGGTTTGTAAGCACCATACCCATGCACAATTGTCTCACCAAAGTGATAAAAGTCTTAGACCTGCATCACTTCAGGTTTTCCCCACATTAACGTGTATGGATATTTACATGACTGATGTCTTCCTAGAATAAGTACAATGTGTGAAGCATTTCTGGTGTCCCCCGTCGTGATATTGCCAAAAGCGGGGTAAAACCATACTCACTCACAAGTAGATCGTATTATTTACCCAGTACGAGTAAAGGTTGGCCATTATTTCAATTAATGGTTTACACATTCTCCTTTTCCAAAAACACGTTCCACGATCGAAATTAAAATTAAAAATTAAAAACTATATTGAATTTTTTTTTCAACACTGAATTTATTTAACAGAGGATTTTCTTTTTACATCTGTGAATAGTTAGGTCGGAGTAGCGATGAATAAAATAATTGAAAAACGCCTTGAAAGGGATGGCTGTCCTGGCATAACCAGTGACGTATATTCTAGAAGACGACGTACGCCGTTGCGAGTTGGGGACCAGCTGCGTTAGAGGCGTCCCACTGTTTTATCCTGAACTGATTGCCATTGAGACTGAAGTCACACTCCGAATTGGGTTTGGTGAGGTAGCACACGGTGCCCAGAGCCATGTCGAACGCCGGACTGGAGCCGACGATGAAGGAGTTGGTGTCTTTGTAGTGGCCGTTCCAGGTGAATGGGAATTTTACCATTTGTTGCTGCAAAGGCATAATCAATGGGATGAGTGAGTGATAGAGTGAGGGATAGAGTGAGTGAGTGGAGGCTCTCGGGTTATCGTATTCCACAGCTAGATTACCAGTAGTCTAAGGCGCCGCGATTCGCTGTGCAGAGTTACGTCCCTTGGGCGCGCCAGAAACTTATGATTGTGGTTTCGAATCCCGGTTCGCCCCGATTATGTTTCTAGGTTTGTCAGCACCATACCCGTGCTCGTGGGTTTCACCGAAGTGGTAAACGTCTGAAACCTGCATCACTTCGGGCTTTCCTCCCACATTAAGCTGACACGCCGCGATATAACTGGAATACTGTTAAAAGCGGCGTTAAACCCAACTCACTCACTGACAGCTAGATTAATGTTTATATGAATTACATGTATATCTTAAAAGTGTTTATGTCTGAGCTGGTGTTGAATCAAATCTGTCTCTCGATCCATCACTGTGAGTGAGTGGGTTTAACACGGCTTTGAACAATACGTCAGTTATAACACCGCGTGTCAGCTTCCTATAGGAAGACACCCGAAGTGATGCAGGTCTTAGACATTTACCATTTTGTCGAAACCCACAAGCAGCGTTATGGTGCTGACAAACCTAGAAACATAACCGGGGCCCACGACCATAGGTTTCTGGCACCTTTAGTAAGTGAATATGGTTTCACGCAATATTAGCAATATTCCAGCAATATTACGGCAGGGGAACCAGAAACGGGCTTCACATATTGTACCCATGTGGGAACCGAACCCGGACGTTCAGCGTGATGAGCGAACGCTTTAACCACCAGACTACCCAACCATCCCCTGGCATGCCTAAGGGACGCTTGCAACGGAGTAATATTTTTTCGTTTTAGGATGACCATAGCAATAACAAATGTGACCAAAATGCCCCCGTCCCCGTTAAGCTTAATTCACTAACCAAACAAGAACCGGCCAACCGATGCATCAGAGGTACTTACCCCCCTATATTTGCTGTACCCGAGGTAGTTGATATGGCCAGCCTTCTCCTCTGAGTAGAAGCGCACCCAGTTGTGGAGCCCCTCGGTTTTCGTGCCCTTATATTCTCCTACAAAGACGTGTTCAAAGGCGCTGCTGTCGCGGGGTTTTCCTTTAGACCTCGAATAGGGTTCGAACCACAGTGAAAATATCTTCTTCCTGAAGGCTGCCATGTCACCAGTATATAGCCCTGGAATAAAGATAGGGCATTATTAACAAGCAATAACTGCATATGGGATAGAATCTATTAATGACAGCTAGCATCGCCCGTGGGGATTGCGGGTAAGACCGTAGATACTATGTTTCTCGTAAGAGGCGACTGAATGGAGGTAGTAAGGTTATGTGACTTGGTTGACTGGTTGATCGATGCGCATGATGTCAACTATGGAAAGCTGTGCGAGTGGAATTCATCGTTTGTTGGATATCCACCAGGATAACGCCCTCCCCACTCTTCACCTAATGAAGCCCTCCTCCCAACACACACATACACAGCGCGGTTGCTACAGGTTTATGTTAGGAATGGGCCGGGATAGAACAGGTCTTCAGCAACCCATGCTTGCCGTCAGGCGACTATGCTTGTCGTAAGAGGCGACTTACGGGATCGGGTGGTCAGGCTCGCTGACTTGGTTGATGCATGTCATCGTATCCAAATTGCGTGGATCGATGCTCATCATGCTCATGGTGTCAATCACTGGATTGTCTGGTCCAGACTAGATTATTTACAGACCGCTGTCATATAGTTGGAACATTGCTGTGTGTAGCGTGAAACAACAAACAAACAAACAAACACAACTGTGGAAATGGGAACATCCATGGTGGTTTAATGAATTCAACTTGCCGTGGTCCACGAGGTACGTGTGCGTCTCCTTTATCACCGGAGAGGCCATGACGACATCCAGAAAGTGACCGATCTCCACCTTGTCCGACCCATCCAGAGGATCTGACACACCCAACTGGGGCTGGTAGTTGTTGTACAGGGAGAACAGAGTCGTGTAAATCGGCCGAGCCAGCAGGTTGGAGTTCACACTGGTGAACAACCTGGAAGTGAACGATCGGCCATAAAATCAGCTGGAAGAATTGATTTTCAAGATATGTCTTGTCTTCATGTAACGTAACAGTCTTATGTCTTATAAACAAACTTAGCAATGTCCGAGTTTGTGAAATTCCGCAGAATGAATAATTGAACTTTAAGGGAATTAATGTTAATCAAGAGGTGATGGCAAATAAACACATATGAACAACACACACACACATCATGTCACATTGGTAAGTTATAACATACGGGGGTTACCTTATCCATAAATCATTTCATTTTGGAAACTTTAATACAAATTGAAGTTGATATTTCCACGTTCTTAGCGGACATGTCACAATACCCTTAGTCAGATATGGGGCGGTAGGGTAGCCTAGTGGTTAAAGCGTTCGCTCGTCACGCCGAAGACCCGGGTTCGATTCCCGACATGGGTACAATGTGTGAAGCCCATTTCTGGTGTCCCCCGCCGTGATATTGCTGGAATATTGCTAAAAGCGGCGTAAAACCATACTCACTCACTCACTCACTCACTTAGTCAGATATGACACTTTCGGTTGTTCAAACGACCATAGGGATATCTCTAAAAGCCATCATCACCACATTTAATTAAGGATTGACTGTGTATTTTTTTCGGTTCATTGTGGTATGAATCGAAAAACCGATGTGCAAACTGTATGAATCCGCGTAATTAATGATTTTTCAACCACCATCGCCCACATTAAATGCTTATCCGAAATATCGGGTTTAAGGTATAAAGAAAATTTACATAATATGACTTTTGGAAAACGTCAAATAATCGAGATTTTACAGAGCCTGATGAACGATAGATGGTAATCTGGTTCTATAGTTTTGTCCACTCACGGTAACGGGGATCTGTCTTGGGTGTTGCCTGCGTAGGTGTGACCGCCGAGGTTGAGATGGACGTCTTGGGTGTCGAACTTGTCTGGGTCCATAGTCCACAGTCTGTCCGCCAGGGTAGCCTGGGTGATGGAGGTGTGGGATGTCGAGCTGCCACCTTCATGGTTTTAGATTGCATAATTATCCATGGTGCAATATTTTGTAAAATACATTAAAACTTTGAATTTGATCGCCCAAGGGATGTTGATTCTCAATGACATCAAGACCATACACAAGTGACAATGCTCCGCAATACTTACTAAGAACGGCTAAGTGGGTGAGTTGGGTTTAACGCCGATTTGAACATGGTTTTAATTATCGAATAGAGGTGGGTGAAGTGAAATGAGCTTAATGTCACGTTCAAGACTTTTGTATGCACGTGTGTGTGTGGCTACTTGTACTAGGCCCGACTGATGCCGGTTTTATAGTGCTAACCCCATGCCGCAGTTTAACATGGATACCCATTCAGACACTGCAGAGCTCCAGATAAGCTGCGTATCTGCGTGAAATACGCATCAGAAATGCAGAAATACGCAGTAAAATAAAATCCAAGCGCATCATATACGCAACGAACATTACAGATACGCTACAAAAATAAAACTTGGGGGTATCATCAAAATATTGTGAAGTAACCCTGCGTATTCGATTAGCAAATCAGCAACTTATTTTGAAATTATAAACGGGCATTCCGTCAACCTTGCCAAACTCCACGATGACAGTTACATCATGATCATTTGCCATCACACTTTCTTGTGGAAGTATCGCGGAATTTTTGAGTCCTATAAAGCTCTCGAACCCACACGACACCAGTTTGCAGGGCCTAGATGAATAGTGTTTTTAAATATTTAACTTAAATACCCACATGTGTAAAAAAACTAGTGGGTAACAGAAATTTGAATACCCAGATAGAATTACTGATATCCATTATCCAATGATTTTAAATTGCATGGGTAAAATACCCACAACACCAAAAGCTTATCTGGAGCTCTGGACACATAGTATAATTAAAATTCAGAGCCGACCAGAACTTGTTTTAGTCCATCTTAATCAAGGGTTGGTGAAGACCTATTTTGACCCGGACCTTCACCGGGGGAGACAAGCATTGGTTGGTGAAGACCAATTTTAACCAGATCTTCAAAGGAGTCACGTCAAGTGGACCATACCGTATAACTTACCCAAAGTGGTTATCTAAAAAGACATTAGCAATATATCGTTTCTTTTTCCAGCTCTTGATGAGGCCACATGATAAAATAAATGTTTCTCGGTCACATACTTCTCAAAAGTTATGAGGGACGAACACTTTTCACTACACCAAGCACACCTAAAATCACAGCTGGGCACACAATGAACTCAGCTCTTTGATGAAATGTCAGTTTCCAGCATGGATCACAGTGCTTCATTTAGTAATTCTATTTTTTTTAAATTTATTTTCTTTAATTTTTTTTTAATTTAATTTAATTTAATTTAATTTAATTTATTATTATTATTTTTTTATTTGGGGGGGGGGGGGGGGGGGGGGGGGGCAATAAGGTGACACGCCAATACCCGAGAAACAATTTCTTATTTTTGTTAGCCTCCTAAGAGTCTGTCTCGTGGTCTACCTCCGCACGCCGTGGAGAAGTCGCTGCAGCAGTTGGAGTGGCTGGAGCAGGCGGTGTTACACTGACACGTGGCGCTGGGGTCATAGTTAGACAGACACCGGCTGACACATGACTTGTCGCCACCTGCATAGCAATAATGATGATGATAATGATCGTATTAAATAATATAAACAGAGACATTGATAATAATAATAATACATAACAAAAAGTATGAGGAACTGTCATAGGAGTTATTACCCAGATAGCATTCAGACGTTGGCAGTGTCGCGGTCGGATTTCATACGTTGGCCCAACGTTGTTACCACGTCAGGTAGCATTTCGGAAATTATTTCAAATGGGCGCTACTCTTAATTGAAAGTCTCTCATAGAGGGCGCTGCGGGTTTTTTCGCCTCTCGACGAGCAGACGACGCGACACAAGCACAAGCTCGATCATCGGAATACTGATTTCCTCGAATATATAGAGGTAAGTGTTTAATTAATGTCTTGTTATAATGTTTAAATAGTACCCGAGAAAAAACAACCATTGTTCTTTCAGAAATATCAACACGAGTAATTATTTTCCAGAAATTGAAAACACCACGTTCACTAACTTCATGACCGAAGCCGAATAGGAATATGTCAGTCCGATTACTTGCAAATATAGCATACTATTACTAGCATACCCAAATAATCGAGCTAGTCATAAAGCTATCATAAAGTTTGTCGTGATCGTGAGGACAAGTTAGTGCAAAGAAATGTGCACCGTATCGCGTAAGTTGCAGTGTCGATCTTAGCTAGTTCTAACAGTTGGAGGGCGGTCGGGTAGCCTAGTGGTTGAAGCGTTCGCTCGTCACGCCGAAGACCCGGGTTCGATACCCGACATGGGTACAATGTGTGAAGCCCATTTCTGGTGTCCCCCGCCGTGATATTGCTGGAATATTGCTAAAAGCGGCGTAAAACCATACTCACTCACTCTATTAGTTGGAGGTCACCGGACAGCGAGCGACCACATGACTACCTAAAAAATACTGACTGTGGTATTTGTAAATGAATACTGGTTGTTTCTATTCTCGCGTATGTTTAAAAATAACAAGCAAACTCAACTGAAAAGGTCAAATTCGTTCTCGTTTGTGACAACTTTACGGTCAAAAAGATCAATTAAACTGAACAATTTAGAACGAGGCTTCTAAAACTCAAAGCGAACACTAGGCTACACGACCGCCCCCTTTATAATAAAGATATCTTGCAGCACCCAATTGTTTATGATAACGGTAACCATGGAGCGTTCATTCAAAGCGCTGCTTTATCGATAAACGAGACTTAAATTAATGTGCTCTATAGTGTCATGAGGATGTCGACCCACAAGTCCTTGTTTTACGACATTCATCACCACTCGCCCCTTTCCGTAACCTGCAAGAAGGCTTATCCCTGAATAACACGAGTGGGTCACGAATGGTTTTACGAGGCACGTTCAATCAAGATGTGATAAAACTAGTGTCGTGTGCACAATGGCGATTCCACTGTGACGTGTTAAGGTCTTCGAATCGCGTCTTTGGGTATAGGTTAGACTAACATTTAGTCTCTGAAATCTTATATTACACAATATCCTTCTTGACTCTAAATAAATTCCCTATGCTGATTTCAGAGCTAGTTTGAGCTGGCTAGACTTGCTTTTGTATGCATTTCTAGATTATTATTTTTTTCATAAAATAAATATATTCCACGATCCTGGTGCAGGACTAGGTATCGCTCGATGCCTTCATATTAAACATTTTTGTATGCCAGTTTTGCTACCGAATCAAATTTTATTGATTCATTCCATAAAGAAGTGACATTTCACTGTTTGCCGGAAATGCCGAAATTTGCTGTGCAGAGTTGCATCCCTTGGGAACCACACCATGATCGTGGGTTCGAATCCCGGTTCGCCCCGATTATATTTCTAGGTTTGTCAGCACCATACCCGTGCTCGTGGGTTTCACCAAAGTGGTAAACCTCTTGACACCTGCGTCACTCCGGGCTTTCCTCCCATATTAAGCTGACACGGCGTGATATTACATGGGAACTGTCCAAAGCGGTGTTTAAGTAACGGACTCCTGACCCCAACACAAACCTTACCCTCACATGCCAGGTGGAAGTCAGGGCAACAGTTGCCGTGCTGGTTGCATTCGGCGTTGCACTGGCAGATGAGAGACGGGGTGTACGCCTGGAGGCATCGCTTCTGGCACGACCCTGACACTGAGCAGAGAAACAAATATGTTGATGAAAAACACTTATCAGTTTAGGTGTGGACTGTGGACCCTCCGTGTCCGGATTCAAAAACGAAATGCCAAGGGGAAAATTTAATTAGAGACCCAGGATCGGCTACAAAACGCCATTTTCCAGTTTCGCGAAATTAGTCCGTCCAGAGGGACGTACCTTTGCAGGGGCAGATAACTCTAAACGGGAAAACTGAAAAATGGCTTACAGTATTCGACGTAATAACACTGATTCTCAGCTAAATGGTCTATTTCACATATCAAATGTTAAAAAATATATTTCTTGATATTGAAAAACTTAACTTATTTTCAGTAAAAACAGTATTCAGGCTTTCAGAATCAATCATTGGGGGACCCAAATGACATCAGAGTTGTTTTTAATGATAACGGAAATAACATATGTCAAATGTCCTGTAGTCAGATACGTTAGACTGCATGTTATCATTGCAATCAAAATATATTGCACAGCATTAATTAACTTGCAAAAAGTGCTATTGTCATTTGCATAGGACCACATATTATATCATTTTCAAACGAAGTCATTGCCTAAGGATCATTTGTCTCCAAATAGGAAAGTGTCGCGGACACCTGTTCAAGAAACACATTTTCTACAGATATTAGCAAATAATAACAGACACGTGTTGGCTATGAAAGTTTGTTCATTTTGCAAAAATAACTTGATAACAAACATTGGTACAAATATCGAACAAACTACATGCCAAGTCCCTGGCCTTCAAGAATTAGTCTACTGAGAACACAGCAATAATCTTCAACTGCAAAAACTGACGTATCTGATGTCAACCTGAATCAACAACACAAGTTCACAAGTGGCCGATCTTTGGCTTAAAAACGTCTGAAGTTTAAACATTTATATGAAAGATGAGGTTTATATTTTCTCCATATGACATTTAGCACAAACTCTAACATAACGTATCTGATGCTTTTTGAGGCATTGTGGTTGAAATCTTGGCAATTCGTAAAAAATACAAAGTGAATGTTCATTTGAATGCCTTCTCAATACGGGCGACGTCACGTGCAGCTACGTTGTACTGGCGCCTTGTTTTGCCAATAGCGACCGGTTCATCAATAAAGCAGAGCACATCGTCAAATTCTATCCAAATTTCATCAGGACGAGATGGCCACTTGTAGGTCTTGCCTTTGTCTTGTGTTTTCTCCATGAAAGTTATTTTGGTATCGCCATCATCTATGTCAACTTCGAGAACCTTCCCGATGAACCAGTTACCATCATATATGGCAGCCAGAAATCTGCCAACAACTGGGACAGCAGGTACATGTGGTGCAGCAGGTACAGGGGATACAGAAGCCTGTGTGGGCTGCAGTACATGCGTTTCCTGGGATATGGTTTGGTCAACATGGTGACGGCGCCAACCAACACATAAGTCATTGCCGCTCAGACAACCTGTACAGTAGCATGATACAGTTCTTGAAAAAAGAACCCCATTCTGCTGCATGACTGCGTGCAACTTCATTGTGCCATGTACAACCTTTGCGTTAGAGGTAGCTATGTCCTGTGCAGCCTTCTCTACTTCAGCAATAGAGTAGAATCTGTATTGGATTGATTTTTGATTGTGTCTCGCCCACTCATAAAAATCGTGGGCATCTTGAATTGTCGCTTTGCCTTGTTTTACTGCATCAGATGCCTGGCGTTTACATGCACCTCCTAGTCCATCACATGGACCTTTCCCGTGTCCACACTCAAAATAGTTCCAACGTGCCTCAAGCCCAAACAGCTCCTTATGCTTCAGAATGACATCAAACATGTACCGATTTCGGTACTGTGATGACGGGCTATCAGTCCAATAGTGAACATGCGTTGCATCAGGGAAAGTTGTTTTCAGTTCAGGTAACATCCGTTTTAGGATTGTAAGTACCGCAGTCGAGTTGTGCTGATTGACGTCAGACACATAGATAAAGTTTTTGTGTACCAGTTTGTCCAACTTGTAGTATACCACTACAGGGTGAAGCGTGACATTTGTTGGGTTCCAGTATGCACTTTGGATTTCATCCATGCTGGAACATGTAAAGTTCTCAGCAAAGTCCATCTGTATGATGATATGGCCATCTGGGAGTGTATCCTTCAACTCATGGATAGCTGCATATTGCGACTTTACTCTTCCAACGTGGTCACGGAACTCAGCAAATTCAAGTAGCATATAATTCTTGAAGTCAGTGGCATTCTTTATTATCTTCACCACCTTCATTTTCTTTTTCCCCTCAACATCCACACGCCTCCACTCATCATATTCAACGTCATCCTGAATAGTTTCCAGCATCTGATCCATTGCGTCCACGGATACACTGTCATACGCCATATCCGGTGATTTTGGAACTGTAATCCAACACTTCTCAGACATTTGAGTTTCATGGCCATATTCTGATGTTTGTTGCATAAGCAAGTGTTTCTTGAAATGTGTGATGTGAGCAAGATGTATCTGGGCCGTAGCCTACAGAATGATGCAAAAGACAGTTTCATATTCTGGTTTTCAATCTTGAACTTAGCATACACCTCAGACAGATAATCATTCATTATTCTTGTTTGATGTTTGACACCATTTAGGCTCTTGGAATCTGCTTTGCCTGGCATACATACGCTGATATCATCTCTCTCCATGAATGAGACAATTAGTCTCTTAATCTGCTCTCTTACGAGAGTGAGACGGGCTCTTCCTCGAATCTCTATTACCTTAGAGGTGGTCCGAGATAAACCTGTAGCCTTGTTCAAACCCGACACACATCTGTACTTCTTAAGTACTTTCCCTCCAACAAGAGATGTCATCACATTCATTTTGCTTTGCTTTTTGTTGGCTGCGACACTTTCTTTAATTTCTCCAAAAAGTACATTAGCCATTGTTAATTGTCTAACAACAGTGGCTGGCAAGTGACTGGGACTCACACCGTTTTCCCGGAGATCATGTCTGGTTTTTGTTGAAGGTGTTGCTTCAGACTGTTGTTGAAGACTGCCTGTCGTCTGATCCGAGCTATTTTCAGTATTGTTGCGGCTAGTCTGTTTGGATGTCCCATACTTCCCCTTCATCCTCTGATATCGTTTCTTCCATTTCTGTTGCTTCTTTTTGTAGCTAGAGAGTTGTTCAGTCAACTCTTTTACTTTTGTATTTGCTCTTTTCAGTGCACACAAGCGTTTTGGTTTTCTCTGTTTATTTGGAAAAGTCATTTTGACCAAGAAAGGACCTGGGCGTGACCTTGACTGCCGAGATGCATCAGTACTGCTTGATACTGTGTCGACCTGGTCAGTTTCTGCATCAACGACCACATCTGTGACCTCAACTATGCTGGCACCTTGTGCTTGTTTGTGTGTTTTCTTTCGATCCCGGTATGCTTTACTATAGAGTTTATTCCTTTCACGAACTGCCTTTTTTTTCTTTGTTTGCATTTGATCAATTGGTATTCTGTACCCTTTGACTCGAGCACGTTCTTTGGCTAGATATTGACTGTCATTTCGTTTCTTTCTTTCCCGATACACCTTTTGGTTTTCTGCGTCTGTTTTCGCCATTTTCTAAAATCAAGCATAGACAAAAACATGCTGAAACAGTCGTCGAAGTGAAAGAGATGTTTGCACTATGAAATAGCCACCCTTTAAAAATGTTCATACTTTATTCTTTGTGAAATATGCTAATTTCATCAGATACGTTATAAAAATCATCACATACGTTAGTTGGTATTTAGGTGTTTAGACAGGAGCTTGAGTAAAATATAGTACTTTTCCTATCAATGAAATGCATACCGACAGAAAACATCAGTAGAATGTTGTGGTCTTCACTTCAGAAACATATCTAATCATTAAATTACATTCGTAAACTACGTTAGGTTGGCATCAGATACGTTAGGTTGGAAAACATGCTCTTTGGGAATTGCTAATATACAGTAAGGGATTCATTTTTTCCATCCTAATGAACAGAATCTATTTTATCAAATAATTATCACCTATGGGGTGGCTTTCAATTCAGATGACCCATTTACTAAGATGGCAAAGATTACTTACCAATTTGTGATGGATTGTTGAGAACCGAAACCAGGTTGCAGGACGTTCTTGGCTGAAAATCGGAAGTAGAGAGGTGGCACGGCGCGCATGTGCATTGATAAGATTCAACTTATCGAGATTACTGAAGTTCGATGACCATCTTCCGATGTCGCTGGTGTTATCTAACGTATCTGACAAAATTGTATCTGATGACAACTTTGCGAATTGGTCAGAAATTTCGAAAGTATACTCATGTCAAGGTTTGGGATGGACATTTCTCATAGGTGACACGTTGTTTTATGAAAGTAACAAACACAACATCATATATTGTAGTTTATCAGGCGTGTGCGGCAATAAATCATGCTAACGTATCTGATGAAAAGTATCGTACCCAGCTGGTATAATTTTGTGATTTTGTGATTCATGATTTTTCTTTAAGTTTTTTTAAGAAATTGATGATAAAAAGTGTTAAGACTATGCTTGAACAAATCATATCTGACACATTGTGTTATAATGTTTGTTTAGTTGGTGTGTGACTTCTTCACACAAAAGTGACCAACGTATCTGATGGTAAAATCGGGGACAGTAGAATATTGCTAGCCAAAGATATTTTATCAGAACCATTGCTTGAAAACTGCTGGTAATGCTGATATATGATCATTACGCATGAAAAAAAAGAGTAAAATGCAGTAAAAATGTGCAGAATATTTAATTATTCAGTGGAAAAGTCACACACTGAGCACGGGGACAAGGCTGGGGACGACTTTATAAGCAACACTAGTACTATAGACTGGTGAAGATACAAACTGAACGAAGTACATCAACATGTGTATTCATTTAGCCGTTCAGCTTGCATTATATGATTTGTAACAGAAAATATATTTTCAGCTAAGATATTAACCAGGTTTTCCGCAGGGGACAGCACAATTGTGTAATTTACCATTTAGCTGAGAATGAATGATAAGCTCCCAGGGCGCTCTCAAATTAGATATAGGGGGCTCTTCGTAGAATATAATTCTGGTGAAAAAAAAACAGAGTTGAAAGATCGTAACTTTCGTGGTTTATGCTGACAGCCTGAAATATTACAAAAGAAAAGTCTCTGCGTATTATACACGACAGTTATATTTTTCCAGAATTTAATTGCCCGTTATTAATGGTATATATAACACACGACTGCGTATTATAAAGGGATAAATAAGTCTTGTGTACATTAATCAATCGAAAGGGGTGCTTATTGGGATTGTTCACTAGCCAAAGTAGAAATCGCTGTGGGAGCTTATTAGAGCGGGGCGCTTATTACGTACGTCGGATACGGTATTTAAGATATGTTAAAGTATGACAGGTTATATATTGGTGGTATACTGATTACCCGAGACCAAGCAGAGAACAGTGAACAGGTTATAGAATGTGTGTAATCACCTTTCACCGGATAATAGGATAAGATAAAGTTTATAAACAAACAAGGCAAGCGACAATGAATTAAGTAGTGTTCAACTCCCAATAATCATTAATAGAGGTCACCACACGAATATAAGAAACCTCTGAGCATGTTTCTAGATGACGTAACGCAAATGACGTAAGACATGGCACGTGACCCATGCCATGGCTGGATCCAAAGGTTCTGCGGGACAGATAGGACAAGACAGAGACATTTACAACTGGGTTGATTTGAAATACAAACAACAATGAAACGTTTCCTCATTAGGATCAAAGTTTATTCATGTTTTTTTCACAACAGATTGGTACACTGGTTAGTACAAACAGAGATAAAAGTAAATTGATGAGATTAACTAAAACATTTTTTATTACCATGACCATTTTGACTTTTTGGCTGTGACCGTTATGTTTTTTCTGTTTGGGCTACAAAACGACTGTGGGTTGTAGCCGTTTTGACTGTACCTTTTTAGGCCATTCTGACACGATCCCGTTTTGTTCGCTCCCTTGATGATTTGGTTGGTTGGTTTGTTGTTTAACGCCGCACTCAGCAATAGTCCAGCTATATGACGGCAGTCTGTAAATAATCGAGTCCGGACCAGACAATCAGGTGATTGATATCATGAGCATCGATCAACGCAATTGGGATCGATGACATCAACCAAGTCAGCGAGCCTGTCCACCCGATCCCGTTAGTCGCCTTTTACGACAAGCATAGTCACCTTTTACGGCAAGCATGGGTTGCTGAAGACCTATTCTACCCCGGAATCTTCAAGGGTCGCTCCCTTGATGAAGCATACATGCCCATTTATATTAATCACGTCTAGCTGCCATAACCGCATCTCTGTGCTGCTCCCTTCAAAAGATTTTGATTTTGACTTGTCGCTTCACAGATTCCCACTCGGAATTCACTGACAGAAATAGTAAAGCTTACTGAGTATGAGTAAATTGCCACGAAAACATGTTAGTAGACTTAATTGACCAGTCAGCATTTCTTTTACAAATTAGAGGAGTAGGTGACCCATCGTACATTAGTACAAATTACTAATCAGTTAGTAGAGATTACTATCCGTCCTTCAAAGACTTACTGGTTTAAGTCGTAGATTATTAGGACGATACACCAACTGTGCGATCTGATACGTTTCACGATACTTGCACGTGCTCTTATCTGTGATGGGTAAGCCTTCTTTTTTCATAAACAGGATGGACAAATACCTGGCACACTGACAATTTACAGTTGGCAGTGTCAAGTATGGCGCAATGGATGAAAATGTTTACATTTACACAACTCATTTTTACTAGTGATAAGTGTTTGGTGTAACATTTATTAAAAAATACATTTAAGGTAAGAATCTATTCTTTTGAAAGTGAAAAATCGCGTAGCATCGGTGTATTGTCCCACTATTTTAAATTATATAACTTAATAAGTGCTATTTACTTATCGTCTTCCCATAATTTACAACTTGCAATAATATATATTTACTTATCGTATAGTAAGTTTTACTATACTTTCATGAAGGCTGTTGATATCGCCTGAACACATTGGCAAATAAGTAAATAACAAATAACAAGCAATACAGGTCAAAGATAACATATAATGACTTTCCCTGAAATTGTAAGTTTAATTACACAATACTACAAAAAGTAATTTACATATCATCAAAATATTATTTTTACAAAGCCAATTCATACCAATCAGACTCAATCACCAAAGGATATCTTTATCTCCTTGTGGAAAAGTGAACAAGGTGTGTGTGTGTGTGTGTGTGTGTGTGTGTGTGTGTGTGTGTGTTGTTTAACACCGCACTCAGCAGTATTCCAGCAATATGATGGCGGTCTGTGAATAATCAAATCTGGACCAGACAATCCAGTGATTTACATCATGAGCATCAATCCAAGCAATTGGGATCGATGACATGCATCAACCAAATCTGCGAGCCTGACCACCCGATCCCGTTACGACAAGCATAGTTGCCTCTTACGGCAAGGCATTGGTTGGTGAAGACCTATTCTACCCCGGATCTTCGCGGCTCTGAACAAGGTGAAACAATAAACACATTTACATGTATAGAATAATGTGAATGTCCAAACATTGACCTTGCTAATAGAAAACAAGAGTCATCAGAAGCTGACAAATCTTTGGCAACACCATTAAAATGCCTTTCATAAGACCTAACACATCCATGAATCATGTCAATATTTGTTTTGTTTGTTTGTTGTTAAACACCACACTCCGCAATATTCCCCACCTATATGACGATGGTCTGTAAACAAATAAGTCTGAACCAGACAATCCAGTGATTGACATCATGAGCAGCGATCTACACAATTAAGATAAGATGACATGCATCAACCAAGTCACCGAACCTGACCACCTGATCACTTTAGACGCCTCTTACAACAAGCATGGGTAGCTGAGGACCATTTCTAACCCGGATTTTCACGGATGCATCCTATCAATGAAAGTTACCATTATGGACTAATAAAATGAAATTTCTAGTTTCGTGTTTGCAAAATGTTTAAAAATATAAACAAAAGTATCCAAAAATATGTAGGGTCACGATAATTCTTTATCATACATTTAGATATGATAATATATAAAATCAACTCTAACAAAATATATTCTTAAAAACTAGGAGACTGCAGTTTGAAGCGAAAGAATAACACACTGGTCAAGTAACAAAAATGCTGCATTGCGAAACAAACAGTCTCAATTGACGAGTTAAATGAGAAATTTACAGTTTATAATGAAACATTTTCAGCGTCAGTAATTAGTACTAGTTCTGTAGTCCTTGCAAAACTGCCCAATAATTGAGATATCATATATAAAGGACTAGTAGAAATTTGCCATTCTTAAGGGTTTTGCTATATGTTATCATTGTAAGGACTTGTGGACTAAAAATGTTAGTTTCTACTGATGATTTTCGAGAGAATAACAAACAGCAAGAAGTAATATTAACTCCATAAATTACCATCTGCCATTATTTTGCCATGTCACTGTGGAACTAGTGTAAATAGGACGTCAATGTTTTGTGTATGGGCTAGACACTTATGATAAAGGGAGACAGTTTAAGGGGAGGTAACTCTAGTATGACAATATATCCGTGTCATGTTCACAGCAGTGAAATATCAAGTGATATGTTCACTGCAATGAAAATGTAACTTTTCTCAAATTCAGAAAAGTCAGTCTTTCACACTGAAGTATATAATAAATAGAAGATATTTCATGTGTTGAGTGAAATATCATGTTTCCCTCATCTCGTGAGAGGGGAAAAGGAGACATTTTCACGAGTGGCATAGCCAATAGTTCCCTCAAAGTTCTATATGCACTGCAGTGAAATATCAAGTGTTATGTTCACTGCAATTGAAAATATCACTTTTCTCAACCTCGAACAACTCAGTCTTTCACACTGAGGTATATAATAAAACCCATTTCTCCAAATTATTATACAAGTACATTGATAAACGTAAGTGTTACTATGATCATGATAATACAAATGATGATGTTTAATATAGCTAAATCAAGCCCTGCAAGATTAGCCAAATGCTGCAAAGACACCTGTTTTCATTCATATTTTAAGTCAACAGCAACAAAATAAGCTTGTTTTTCTTTGTGTAAAATATATCACAAATTGGATGCCATGATCACTTACAAAAGGATCAGTATCCAGGAATTTATCTAGACTAGCTAAGAGGCTGATATTTGGTCCCAAGTGTGCAGCAAATGATAATAAAAATTCAAAAAATAATTTTAAAAAAATAAATAAAACTGTGACAAATACCAACATTGCCATACAGCAGGTTCTTAAATGACATGGCTTTAATAGGTTAAAAAAAAAATAGTCCTGGTTTACAGGCACCGCTTGTATCATCAAAAAGTTCGCTGCACAATTTATTTTTATTTCCATTTTACAAACAAACAAAAATATCCTTTAATTTCACATTGTATTTCAGTATTTTACTCATCAAGGAATGTATTTATGTAGGGAGGCCCTTTCCCAGGTTGATTGTACACAACTGTTTATTTGGTTTCACACTTGTTTCTTAGGTTACATTCTAGTTTGAACAACACCGCCCACCCGCACTATGTTTTTAAAAGCCGTTGCCTGAGAAAAAAATTCTTTTATTTTTTTAAGCATTATATAATTGTGTAACAAATGTTTTTAAATGCCCCTGTACATAACAGTTCATGATCTGTAACTACAAACCTCTGTGTACAGTGCAACCTCATGGTAGCAGTGTTCGCCATCACGTCAAAGACTCGGGGTCGATTTCCCACATGGATACAATGTGTGAAGTCCATTTCTGGTGTCCCCTGCCGTGATATTGCTGGAATATTTCTTAAACGGAAAAACGATACTACCAAACTCACTATCTATAGTAATAACACAAAATGTACACTTTCAGGATAAAACAGCAAACAGAAAACTACAAAGTTGAAAAAAACTTTATAGATACAGAAAAAACATCAAATAAACAAAATTATGTTCATAGGTCGTGATTCAATGAAAAACATGTCAATGACTCACACCATCCATTCACTTGCAAAAGGTTCTGTCATCAATAGGGGCGGTCAGGTAGTCTAGTGGTTAAAAGTTTCGCTCGTCACGCCAAAGACCCTGGTTCGATTCCTCAAGAGGGTACAATGTGTGAAGCCCATTTCTGGTGTTCCCTGCAGTGATATTGCTAAAAGTGGCGTAAAACCAAACACACTCACTCTCTCACTCTGTCATCAATAAATACTATCAAAGTTGATATCGCGTCATGAAGGATACACTCTGGTGTCTGTTTATTTGGAATTATTTCTTTCTTTCTGGATTTGGGCGAGGACTGACACTATCCTCTTGTCAACTTGCTCATCATCTGCCAGTCTCAGTACAACTTTCTGAATAAAAAGGAAAGTTTTTTCGCATTCTTTTGGATAAGCAAGATTGAAGGTGTAGATTGCCGCCATGAGACCTGCTACAGCCTGCATGAATGTATCTCCTACAAACACGAGGTGGCCTTCTAGGTGGACTTGGAAGGCTCCACTGGAGGTAGTAGAGATTTTGTCCAATGCAATAAGCTGGATAGCCATCTCGCCATCAGGAGTGTCCTTGACCTTCACGACCTTCTCCATCTTCTCCTTGAAGAGGGTCCCTAGTCCCAACACCGCTGCACACTGACTTGAATCTGTTAAAACATACACAACAGTCTTCAAACATTACTTACAGACAAACAACAATGCTTCTTAAGTTCTAACATGTTCACAGACTTGGTTTATAATAAACATCCTCGCGTACTGTGTTTTTGAGCCCGTAAGAAGTATTTCTCTATCATGTCTAATATTACAATTGCAAAACAATAAAATTAAGTCTTATCTTTGAGAACTTTTATTTCTGTTAACAACTGAAGAGTCACATGACCACATCTTGTCAATTTCATCGTGATAATGCCTCTTAAAGCGAGACAGTCAATCAGGCGCTATCTCATTACCGTCACATGATTTCGAGCCCTACCATGACAGTCAAGTTAAAAATAGATGCAAAACATGATCAGTCACATGACATGACAGACAGGAAATTTACAATCAGCAGCCAATACAGCATTTGTGCATACGATTATTCTGTTGCAAAATTATCGTCAGATCAAGTTTGATTAAAATGAGTATAAGTGCAATCTCATTAAAATCAGATCTTAGTTCTCACTACCGCTAAACAAGGATCTGAGGGCATCCCATTACGGGTCACGTCAGACCGACCTTGCACGAACTTTGACTGACCAATGGAAAGACCAATCAGAAGGCAGCTTTCTCGTGCTTTACGGCACTAATTTCAAATTGGCAACTACGCTTCGAAACATATTTTGACAAATTCTCGATTACAAATTTGAAACCTTAACAAAAGAACATTCTTGAATGGCTAATATATGGTCTAGATTGTATGGATTCAGTCGTTAAACCCGTAACCATCGTTCGGAATACCCTGTGTTAAAGTTTTCGAGGTTGTATGATTAGAAATCACATTCCGACTGTCACTTTCATGATCTGGTAAGCAACGCTCTGATTGGTCGGATGAAAGGTCGTTCTGACGTGACCCCTAATGGGATGTCTTCAGACCTTTGTTTAGCAGTAGTGAGAACTAAGGTCTGATTTTAATGAGATTGAGCATAAGTGCAAAAGTCAAGTTTTGAGGTATGTTTTCTTACTTATTCAATATCTAACCTCGTGCAGCTTAACGCGTAACATAACTTTAGTGACAAGTGCGTTGAAGAGCTTTGAAGAGCTTTGAAGTGTCTACCTTGATTAGGTCATCACGCTCATGGTTACCATGGTTACATATTGTTTAGGGGCTTGAAAAGGGGTGAGGCTCGAAAACATGTTACATGGGGATATATATGTCTTACACTTTCGTTGGGAGTCAATTCTTAGAAGCAGCATTTCTTCGTAGAAGTCCCGCTGGAACCTGGGCATCTTCCTTCCCTTGGCGAGATGAGTGATGGAATCGTGGTACTTGCTGAAGCCATCCATCAACAGGTCGTCCATGTTCTGGCAAGCTGTGTTCGGCTCAAGTCGGCTGAACTCTGTCAGCAACTGTGACACAAGGTGTTGAATGTATGAATACTTGTCGTTTAGGCCGCCTCCTGGGTCTAGAGGCATAGCGTCCGTCGATCCCCGGCCACGTCATACCAAAAGACTTTAAAAGTTGGTACTTGTGGTTACCATGTCTGGCACTCGGCATTAAGGGGCTAAAACAAGGACTGGTCGGCTCGGAATCAGTATACTGTGCCTGAGTGGGGTATTCATGTTAAACTGCGGCATGGTATCTCAGTGGGCTAGCACTATAAATCGGCATCAGTACAAGCAGCCACACACACAAACACATGCATGCACGTTGCTATGTAAGTGAAATAATCTTCAACGCGACGTTAAACCCCATTTCACCTCATCTCACCTCACTTGTTGTTTAAGAGAGACAAAAGTGAAAGCTTGACAAACAATGACCATTCTTCTTCTAGGCATGTTAAAGTAACCAAATGAAATTAATTTAGCTGCTGTCATACGGAATAATAAAATGATGCATGCAGGCACACAAACAAAGGGAATGAGGCAAGTTAGTCCAAATTGTATAATCATTCTAGGAATAAAATCAATGTACTTAATGACCTCACCTGTTCTCTTTGATGTAACCATGGATACTTCAGCAGAAGGTCACCGACGTCAAGACCCTGTGTAATTACATTCCTCCGTCTTTCTGGAAAGGTGAGGTTCATCTTCAGATATACTTTTGGCATACACGGAGCTGTCTTCTTGAACTCCCTCTGGAGCCAGTCGACGTGTGCTTCGATGGATTCACTATCCTCAGACGTAAGTGGAGGAGGCAGGAAGTTGGCCAATCCCCAAGTGAGGTTGACTCTCTTGGAAGCAGGTTCCTCGGAAGGTTCTGATTTTTTTTTTCGTGTTCTTGCCTGAACTTCCGGCCGATCCCTGTCCCTCACCTTCCTCTCATTGCCCCATTTCTGTTTCAGCTTTTCTCTCCAGTACACCTGTACCGAACAAAGAAGGTCACGTTATAACACCATGGCAGAAGAGGTGAGGTGAGGTGAAATTGGGTTTAACGTCGCGTCCAAGATTATTGCACTTATATAGCGACGTGCATGCACGTGTATGTGTGTGTGTGGCTGCTTGTACTAGTCCGGACTGATGCCGATTTATAGTGCTAGCTCACTGAGATACCATGCCGCAGTTTAACATGAATACCTCACTCAGACACAGTATACTGACTCCGAGCCGACCAGTCCTTGTTTTAGCCCCTTAATGCCGAGCGCCAGACAGGGTAACAACAAGTACAATCTTTTAACGTCTTTTTGTATGACGCGGCCCGGGATCGAACCCCGGACCTTCCGCTCTCCGGGCGGACGCTCTACCACAAGACCACGGAGGCGGTCTCCATGGCAGAAGAGTAAGTCCGTCAGTCAGTCAGTCAGTCAGTCAGTCAGTCAGTCAGTGGGTGATTGAGTCAGTGGGTGAGTGAGTGAGTCAGTCAGTGGGTGAGTGATGGAGTGAGTGAGTGAGTGAGTGAGAGTTGTGTTCACCACCGTTTTTAATAGTATTCAGGGATTTATCTAGCATTCGATACAAAGAGCCCTTGTCGGCTAACTTGGGAAAAAAACATTACTTTATTCGAATTTTGGATTATTTCAAATGTTAAATGTTCTTAGCACCATTTACTGCCACTGTTATAACAGCTTAGTTCTGCCAATTTAAACATAAGTGTCCACCTTATAATAATGGAAGTGAAAACAGCACAAGTGGATGCAGAAAAACAAGTGGAGAGAGATAATACAGAATATTTTTATTAAAATTTGGTTCATAGGTTACCATGGTTACTTTAAGAATTACACAGTAATAGGGATTTTCATGGAAAGGTGCAAAGGTGTTAACGTCTTGACGCATCCTGATATAAATCTAAAAGGATTGGCGTAACCCCATCGTTTTTTAAACTCAGAAGTATTTTAACGTAGCACTTGAACACTGCATTCAATGCAGTAACATACAATTTTGCGTTAAAGGCTCTCCGTGTTTAATGGTCCTGTTGTCAGTGAAATACAATCCCTCTAAAACCTAAGTGAACATGAATTGGGAAATTTTAAATCCCAATCTGGGAATGTTACTGACATTTGCTGCAGATTCGGGGCTGTATAACAGCCTCTGATTACGTCTTGACCAATCCACGGTATTCCAGTTATATCACATCGTATCAGCTTAATGTGGGACGAAGGCCTGAAGTGATGCAGGTCTCAGACATTTAACGCTTTGTTGAAACTCATGAGCACAGGTATGGTGCTGACAAACCTAGACTCATAATCAGGGCGAACCGGGATTCGAACCCACAATCATAGGTTTCTGACATGCCCAAGGGACGCAACTCTGCACAGCAAATTGCAGTGCCTCAGACACCTGGGCCACTGTGTCCCACCACCCCTGGCATAACGCATAACAATAACCGGTACAAAACCTACAAGCCATTATGACAATCTTTGTGCTATTCTAGTAATGGAACGATACGCCGATGCATCAGTAGATCGCGATTCTTTACTTCTCGATATAAGTATCGATCACAATCGCACACAAAGTAAAAAATATCGATTTTAACCTTTAGCATGTTTAGTGTTTGCTTTAATAACTGTTAAACCAACCACTACTTAGTAGTGAAAAATAGTAGTGAAAACGTACATATTTTCACCCATTGTGCCATACTTGACAGTGCCAACTGTAAATCGTCAGAGCGGCAGGCATTTGGTCATCCTGTCTGTATAAAAATGGCGTATCAGATCATGAGCAAAGTAACATGGTCTGTTTTGGATCACAGTTGGTGTATCGTGCCAGCCCTCATCTTCCCGAGGCAAGTGAGTTAACTGACTATAAAAGTCCAGTTTCCACCCTTGCCGAACTAGGCTGGTATTATGGAGTTACTTTTTGGCTGGATTAACGAGTCCATGCATAGTTCATTCAAAATCGCGCACCGAAATCAAAATCCGGTTCGTAGAGTGTCATGCAGATTTCGGTAGACTGCAGGATTTGTAAAGCATGTGCACTGCTAACTCGTTGTCAACAGATATTTTCTAAATCTTTTCGTGTTTTTAATCAAGGTGCTCACGTGATTTGATGCACTTCGCGATGTAAGACTCGTTTTATCACAATGTAGATCTTGATTATCGATCAGATCGTCTTGCCTGGGCGCCACCATTTTGTTTGAAACAAACTCGTAATAGCCACTGTTGGCGCTACGATCGAGCCCAGGAATTCCAGCCTAGTTCGGCTGGTGGAAACTGGACTTTTAAAGTCACTTAACTCTCTTGCCTCGGGAAGATGGCCAGCCCTATATTAAACACATCACTGCATCAACAAACACACGAACCAGGTCAACTTACCCTGATTAGATGAAGGGGCATGTCTTCACCCTGCTTGGCCAGATAGGGGAATGAGCTGAGGATGGTATCCACCAGCAAACTGTATCGTTCCACAGATGGGTACCTACAAATGGAAAACTGATCAAATCATACAAGTCAAGTTAAAGTGAGTGAGTGAGTGAGTTGGGTTTAATGCCGCTTTTAACAGTATTCCAGTTGTATCACCGAAGTGATGCAGGTATGCGTTTACCCCTTCGGTGAAACCCACGAGCACAGGTATGGTGCTGACAAACCTAGAAACATAATCGGGGCAAACCGGGATTCAAACCCACAATCATAGGTTTCTGGTGTGCCCATATTATACATATATAACCATGATAACTTGCAAATAAAATAATTTCTCAAACAAAACACACACACACACACACACACACACACACACACACACACACACACACACACACACTAAATGAAGCTGAATCTAAACACTTTCACACTGCTTTAAATACGCTTTACCAAAACCTTGAATGAAATTACTTCACAGAAATTGGTATATTCTGATACCTAATCAGTTATCTTTTACAGAGAAATATTTCTTAATTAAAATAGAAAAAGCTTAGAAAGGTATTTGGAATTCATAGCAACTCAAATCAGCGTAATCTTTACCGAATTTAAACAACAACTTTAAAATCACACTCATTCACTTATTTGTGCCCCGTGGAGATCCGGGGTAGAATAGGTCTTCAGCAACCCATACTTGCCATAAAAGGTGACTATGCTTGTCGTAAAAGGCGACTAACTGGATCGGGTGGTCAGGCTCGCTAACTTGGTCGATGCATGTCATCGATCCCAATTGCGTGGATCGATGCTCATGATATCATCACTGGATTGTCTGGTCCAGACTTGATTATTTACAGACCGCTGTCATATAGCTGGAATATTGCTGAGTGTGGCGTTAAGCAACAAACCAACCAACCAATCACTTATTTGTCTATTGTTTGTATGTACCATCTTCCCCAGGCAAGGGTGTTAACTGACTTTAGAAGTCCAGTTTCCACCCTTTCTGAACCAGGCTGGAATTATGGCGTTATATTTTGGCTGCATTAGTGAGACTATGCATAGTCCAATGAAAATCATGTAACAAAGTCGACATCCAGTAAGTTATCTTCTGTGCGGCCGATTTCCAACTGGGCATCAACAGATATTTTCCAAATCTCACTTGATGCACTTTGTGAAGTAAGACCTGTTTTATCCCAATATAGATATTGAAATCGATCAGATCATCTTGACTGGACGCTACCATTTGTTTGAAGCAAGTGCATTGAAGTGGTATGAGGGGTGGAATCCAATTGGTCAATAGGAGGGACATAGTTCATAATAGCCACTGGTGGAACTACAATTAAGTTCAGAAATTCTAGTCTAGCTTGGCAAGGGTGGAAACTGGACTTTTACAGTCAGTTAACTCCCTTGCCTGGGGAATTCACAAATACAATAACAAGTCAGCAGTTGATGTATCATTTGTCATATTCAGCATGTTCAGTGAGGCAACAACAACATAAATTATTTGACATGGTTTGTTAATTTTTAATATATTATTAAATATATAATTCATTTATATACTGCATTTATCCAGGTACTAGTATCTGCTCAAATGCAACAATGACCAGTGACCACAATACTGTCAAATTAAATAGTATAAGAGTGTTGCCTTATGAAGAAATCTATGCATAAAATATGTTCTTATGGGTATTTTTTTTATGTAAATGCATATGCTTGCATATTCATAAATATTCAATTCTAGTGGCCACGAATAACGAATTCAATTCATGAATGGATAAGGTTCGATTCACCGAATATGCGAGTGAATTGTAACAGCCCTAATTTTTAATATGTCTTTTTAAAAATAATCAAAGTATATCTTCATTCACTTCAGGAAACTTTAGAAATGGAACAGGAATACAAAGCCTGAGCGAACTGACCCATTTATTATGAAGTGCCAAACAGTTTTCGGCCATGTTTGTTTACATCGGGAAACCTGTTATCTATTGTGGAAAGTTTTGCAAAGGTTTTGCTGCAAATTAGCATCCCATCAATGTATATAGTTTTATGGAAAGTAGTTCCAACCAGATAATCTCATTTGCATATTTATCAGATTAGTTTATTGCATTGATACACTATCCATTATAAGATAAACTACATTATAATACTCACAGTCCCCCTTCGTACAATGAGGCATCCTTGTATAAGATGTCTTTGAGGAGGCTGATGTCCCGTTTTTCCAAAGGTTCCTGTGTTTCCAGCTTCTGCAGCAGAGACCTGGGGCAGGCTGCAGATGGGAAGACATAGGTCTTCGGCCATGGCTTTCTTCACAAAAAAGTAAGGTTACATATTAATTCAAGCAAAATTGGATGTTGGATAAAAAAGACAAATAAAGGTAAATAAATGAGGATATTTCATCCAAATATTCCTCACAATCATGTATTTCATATCATACATAATCTGTTACTAAAACCCCCTTACCATGCTTAAAGGTGACTATGCTTGTCGTAAAAGGCGACTATGCTTGTTGTAAAAGGCGACTAACGGCATCGGGTGGTCAGGCTCTGGATTGTCTGGTCCAGACTCGATTATTTACAGACTGCCGTCATATAGCTGGAATATTGCTGAGTGCGGCGTTAAACAACAAACCAAACCAACAAATACAGCATGTACATTCAGGCCTCAAAGTTGCGACTAAAATGGTCGTCAATTCGACCTAAATTTCAATTTGTCTACTGTCTAAAATTCAGAGGTAGCCAAATGACTACCGTGAAAAACATCTTGTGGCAACTAAATTCTATTGCTTCACATTTGAAGACACAAAATAGATACTAGCTGATTGTGGAAAACATGTCTGCTAATAATTGTACTTGCGTATAATTCCTCCTTAAGTCGATAATAAACAGAAATACAGAAATATTAATGTAATAAGTATTTATTTTAGTTGTCAATGCTCATTGGATAAGCAAGGATATATCTCAATAATCTTGTCACATAAATTGCATCATTGTTTGAGTCACAAATAACAAAAATCAAGTAGTTTCCACTAATATACAATTTCAAGACAAGTAATATGACTTGTACATATTATAATAGTTATTTGATAAAAGACAACTTCAGATGCTTTTGGCTACCTACAATATTGGCTTGACTTCTTGATTTTAATACTGGCTACCTAGAAAAAAAATACTTGTAGCCATATGGCTACTTGGTAAATATTTAAACTTTGAGGCCTGACATTTAAAAATGTAAACAAGATAACTAACTGTCTCATCTACACACAGATGTTTCGTTTCCAGCTATTTGACACTGCAATTCTTTGAATAATTAACAGGCATGAAATACTCCTATCCCACCAATATGACATGTCTGGACAGTTGTGCGCAAGATATCAGCCCTCCGGAAACGAGCACTACCGCCATTTTCAGTCTAAGTCGTTGCAATGGAAACTTGAAAAAATAATTTTTTCCAAAACCCCAAAATACCGGTATCAAAAGGCACCAGTTTACTGCTTGAACCTATCTATGTGCCAAGTTTGGTGCAGAAATATTTTACGGTTTTCAAGATCTGCTCCGAAAAGGAGCACTACTGCCACGTTCAGGCTAGGTCAAAGTTGTTGCCATTGAAACTTGAAAAATAAAAACACCAAACTATGAAAAGGCACCAGTTCACCACTAGGCCTGTTGATGTGCCAAGTTTGGTTAAGATATCTCTCATGGTTTTTGAGTTCTGCTCCAGAAACGAAATGTGAAGGATATGTGGACAGAAGGCACCATCCCAATATCCCACCTTCACTTCGTGGCAATCTCATTAAAATCAGATCTTATGTTCTCGCTATCGCTAAACAAAGATCTGAGGACATCCCATTACGGGTCACGTCAGAATGACCTTTCATCCGACCAATCAAAGTGTCGCTTACCAGATCATGAAAGTGACAGTTTTCTGATCATGCAACCTCAAAAAAGTTAACATGGGGTGTTCTGAACGACAGTTACGGCCCGTACGACTGATTCCGTCAAAATTACCATCTATCTCTCGCTTCCGTGGGATAAACATTTGAACAGAGGAGGCATTTCACAGTATGTGGGAAGAACTGCCATACAATCGCAACCACATATAAGACATTCCAGAATGGTTTTTTTTAGTTTTAAAAATTTTAATCGAGAACTGTGTCAACATATTTTTCAAGCTTAGTCTGAAATGGAAGTCGCCATGTTGAAACGAGTGCCGTAAAGCTCAAGAAAGCTGCTTTCTAATTGGCTGATGTTGACTTCTCGTTCGGTCAAAGTTCGCGAAAGGTCGTTCTGACGTGAACCGTAATGGGATGTCCTCACATCTTTGTTAAGCGGCAGCAAGAACTTAGATCTGATTTTTATGAGATTGACTTTGTGTTGGGGGATAAAAATATGCATCAATACACTAACAAATCACCTGTGCCTTGTCAGAGTAACTACGCAGTGTAGAGAAGTTACAGGCTTACCTGTTGGGGAGTTCATGGGTAGACTCCAATCTGCCGTCATCAGCTGGTGTCTTGCATCCTTGGCTGTATGGAGGTGCTTCCTCACTGGTTCTCGGTGCATCCGTCTCCATCTTCACCTGCTGTACCTCAACCAGCATCCCCGAGGATGGCTGGACCTCATCTCTTGGGGGCTCTCTATGCTCTCGTTCTTGGTCAAGTGTGGTAACCATGGTAACGCCAGCCACTTCAGTATTTGGAATGGGAAAAACCCTCACTTTAATTACTCTGTCCTCTTGAAGATCCTCTATGGAAGATTCTTCCAAATCTACAAAGTCTTCCACATCCTTGTCCCAGTACTTAGCAGTGAAACTTGTTATTCTGAACTTAGCCCTGATATTTTCAGAAACTAAATTGAGGGTGAGAGCTCCGCTGAAAACAACCTTCTTCGAAGAGTTATAATATTGAAGTAGCAGAAATCTCTTCTCCATGATGAGTAAAGTCTGGAGCTGAAAAATAATATTAAAACATAAAGTAGTTTTAGTGTCACAAAACACCATGCATGTATGTTTGTTTGTTGTTTAACGCCACTGTCAGCAATATTCCAACTAAATGACGGCGGTCTGTAAATAATCGAGTCTGGACCAGATAATCCAGTGATTGATGTTATGAACATCGATCCACGCAATTGGGATACGATGACATGCACCAACCAAGTCAGCGAGTCTGACCACCCGATCCCATAAGTCGCCTCTTACGACAAGCTTAGTTGGCTCTTACGGCAAGCATGGGTTGCTGAAGACCTATTCTACCCCAGATCTTCACAGGTCACATGCATATTCAAACAACAAAATTAACATGATCAAGCTGATAACAAGTCTCAATTTTAGGATCCTGATCTAACTTGACATGAGAACCAAGATGCACCAAAGAAAACTAGGTTGCACCCTGGTCCCATACATTTATACAAGTTGAAACTCAGGCTGGTTGTTTAATGCCTCATTACTGTAAACCAATAGTTGGTGTGTTCCCCAATCTAACTGGTCATCCTACCTCGTCAATTATCTTTCAATTCCCACAAATCCAATTAAGCCTTTTAACTGAGTATGAACAATGAGTGAGTGAGTGAGTTTGATTTTAAACCACTTTTAGCAATATTCCAGCAATATCACATCGGGGGACACCAGAAATGGGCTTCACACATTGTACTCATGTCGGGAATCGAACCCGGGTCTTCCGTGTGAGCTGCGAACACTTTAACCACTAGGCTACTGTGTATGAATAAATAAACAGTACTATTTCTCAAGACAAGCCAAAATGTCAGAAGATAATTTTCAGAAAATTTAGATTACAATTCATTTTCATATGACATCAGAAGTTTCCGCTAACATGGCTAAACCAATCAAATCTTTATCTCGCTAGTGAATGTGATGACCAGTTGTCATATTCAAGTTAAAGGTATGATCCATTTCTTAAAAGGGCAAAGTTTTAGTACAAGAAATCACATAAGACATGATAAGAGTTGAATGTTGAAAACTTTCCAATTTTGCACTTATAAAGTTCACTGCACTTAACAGTGAAAATGTGTCTTCAAGTTTTATAGCTCTAGTAATAGCCATTTCAAAAATACATGGGTTACCTCCCTTGCCTTGTCATTACAAGGAGATTTGAATGTGAAAATAACCAGGGTTTTACCTTGACTAACAAAAGTGGCGGTCTGGGGGATCCCTAATAATAAATTTTAAGGGTTCTTGCAGGCAATATGGAGATCCTGTAAGGTAATGAAATGGTGTAGTGTACTGTATGTACATTTAGAGTCTGGAATGAATCAATGATCATGTTTTGTTTGTTTGATTTGTTTGTTGTTTAATGCCACACTCAGCAATATTCCAGCTATATGACAGCGGTGTGTAAATAATAGAGTCTGGACCAAACAATCCAGTAATTGACATCATAAGCATCGATCCATGCAATTGGGAAACGATGACATGCATCAACCAAGTCAGCAAGCCTGAACATCCGATCCCGCTAGTCGCCTTTTACAACAAGCAATAAGTTCAAGCATAGTCGCCTTTTATGGTTAGCATGGGCTGCTGAAGACCTATTCTACCCCAGATCCTCAAGGGTCCAATGATCATGTGCACAGTAGTCATGACCCATAACTGCTCGATACGCCGTAGATACAATGACGATTATTGTGCGTCTTTCAGGATGCAGCATATTTTCCTTTTGCGTCCATTTTTCTACATTTGAGCGTACTGGACACACATTAGTGCGTCGCATAATCCCTGAATAAAACACCTCGTAATTTGAAGACATCAGTGAAATCTCAAGACGGAACGTCATTAAAGAATTACCTCCCTACCGAGTTAACGTTCTTTTCGCACGTCAAATAAACCTCGACAAGCTCTAAACACCATGTAATCTGAGTGCAGAATTGAAATTTATGTACGCCTTGAAATCTGTTGCTGAGTCCGAACCGGGTCAACTGTGGTGGGAAGTCTCAATCTCTACGTTACGTTACTCTATGTTTCATGAAGAGGCATGTACTGAAACATGCTGTTTCTTCAGTATACCCTGTGCATGAAGATCATACTCAACAGATGTTACATTGCCAAAGTGATCCTTAATATACTTATTTATTTGGTGAGGTGAGGCGAAATTGGGTTTACCATGGCGTCCAAGATTATTGCACTTGTTTTGTGATGTGGATGTACTTGCGTGTAGCTGTTTGTACTAGTCCAGACTTTATAGTGCTAGCCTACTGAGATACCATGCCACAGTTCAACATAAATACCCCACTCACAGAATACTGACTCCAAGCGGACCAGTCCTTGTTTTAGCCCCTTAATTTCGAGCACCATCTTTTAACGTTTTTAGTATGACGCGACCGGGGATCGAACCTTGTGCCTTCCGCTCTCCGGGCGGACGCTCTACCATTAGACCATGGAGGCAGTCTATTTTTTTGGTACTCAGTATCTAGAGCATTGCAAGCATCTTCAACTTGTGAAGGATGATTGAATATATGGTTGGTTCTACTCACTCGTCATCTGATCCATTTTCCACCAGAAATCATCTAATCTTCTTACTGAGTGAGTGAATACAGTTTTATGCCACTTTTAGCAATAATCCAGCAATATCATGGTTTGGGACACCAGGAATGGGCTTCACACATTGTACCCATGTCGGGAATCGAACCCGGGTCTTCGGCGTGACAAGCGAACGCTTTAACCACTAGGCTACCCGACCGCCCCTTGGGACACCAGAAATGAGCTTCAAACATTTGCAACCCAGACCTTCAGAGTAATGAGTGAACGCTTTACCCACAAGGCTATTCCACCGCCACTGAGTTCTGCATCATGTTTAACAACCAGACATATCAATTTCTGCAAAACTTTTGATATAACCATGATAACATGGGTGGTTCTTTTGATTCCCCCATTAAACTAGCCTCCGTGGTCAAGTGGTAGAGCATCCGCACAGAGAGGGGAAGGTCCAGGGTTTGATCCCCGGCCACATCATACCAAAAGATATGAAAAGATGGTACTTGTTGTTATCCTGTCTGGCGCTTGACAATAAGGGGTGAAAACAAGGACTGGTTGGCTCAGTATACTGTGTCTGAGTATGGTATTCATGTAAAACTGAGGCATGGTATCTCAGTGTGCTAGCACTATAAAATTGGCATCAGTCCAGATGAGAAGAAGCAGACACACACACACACACACATCCCTATATAAGTGCAGACCCAGTTTCTTGCTCAGTGCTTGGTGTTATGTTCACTTACTTCATTCAAAGCCTCATCGTCGTCATCATCTTCACAGACAGAATCATGTTCGAGAGCATCCAGAGGCCCACTCTCTCTATCAGACTGCTTCCATTTTGAAAAATGTGCTTGATAGAATTCAGGATGCTTCAAGTATTATCCTGTATGTCTGTAGCACATCTGTCTACAGAACAAGAGAACGCACAATCTCAGTCTGGTACACAAGCTTATAGTGTAAAAGTAGTTATGGCAGGTGTCTGCTTTGAAAATGACACTCAACACATGGATACATATTTTATTCCAGTGGCTCAAAAAATTATTAACTGTAACCGATGATCAGATAGTGTGCTGTTACACAATATGGATCATTAAGCACCATTCCAAAATTACCATATTCGACGGAATAAGCGCCCAGGGCGCTCTTAAAATTAGAAACAGGGGGCTCTTATTAGAATATTATTTTGATGAAAAATAAGGGAACATTGATTATTCGGAAGGGTGCCAATTGGTTCACTAGCCAATATATTAGCAATTATCGCCGTGGGCGCTTATTAGAGCGGGTCGCTTATTACGTCGAATACGGTATGTTTAATTTGGCAGACAGCCACTGGTAATCCAGTCTTGAAAAAATCTGATGTATCACTATCAGGTACATAGAAACTTGAATGATTGTTTGTTTTATAAAAGTATGTTCAGGTCACATTCACATGTGCCATTTCAATGCGTATGCACATACTATCACTTGTTTAGCTGAACCCATATGTCACCTACATAATTTCCTGCCTCAACATATTTTACCATGTCTTGTAAAAACTTTGTTTTCCCCATTCTTATGTATGGTGTAAAATAATCTTCTTTTCTATGCTCTCCCATTGTTGCATCCTAACAAATGAAATACATTATAATTCATTAATGTCTTATCCGAAAATACTACAATTAACCAAACCAAATTGCTTTTGATAATTATTCAGAATGAATTTTGAGAATATGCATGAAAAATAATGATCATGAAAAAGAATTCCTCATACCCGGAACTGCAAATTATTTTAATGGAGCTGTCTCAAAGTAATAGAAATATATGCCCAGGTGTTTAATTGAGGAAATACGGTACAATAAATGGATAAGACTATGATTGTTCATGACTTGGAACCATGAAAAATAAGTGTTTTTTTTCGGTGATTTCCTTGAAAATAACATGGGAAAGAAAACAATAACAAGAAAATGTTCAATAAATTTTAATGTTTGGGTTGACTTTTTTTTAATTTTCGAGAAAGAAGGAATTTTGTGCACCTTGAAAAGGTCTATAAATAAGGACTGACGTGCATACACAATATCATTTACCTGATACCACATATGAAGTTATTTTACATGCTGAGAGTGAGACTGAGATATATATATCCTTCACTCATTATATCAAATGGGTCTATTTCTTATGCCGTGCTAGATTCATTATTTGTTTCGAAATGAACAAGTAATCGGCACCCAATTAAACATGATTAGAGTTCTGTCACAGAACAATAATAGGACCTACTGTCCAGCTTGAATACTGCCCACAACAGCATTGTTTACCGTTAGATGCAACCCATGTTGTCCCACTTAGCTGTACTGTTTTGTTAGAGTTACCCGCCCTTGATTAACAAGAAGACATGTAAAATCACCAGGGTGCATTAAAACAGCATTGCACACAAAGAACACGAAGAAATATCAAGGAAGAAAAAAGTTACAAGAAGTTATATTGATGGTTGCTTAAATTACTAATCTCCAGAGGTCTAAATGTGAAGCTTGAGAGCGTGAAACACGAGATATATAATGGCAACAGTGCATATCGTTGAGGCTAGGAATAGCAACCACCAGTATGAAGACGAACATTTGTGATCAATATGAAATGTCTTACCTGGAGTTCGATAGATTGATAATTTCTCAGCAGCTCCCCTGTCTCCTCAAAATGGCGAGCGTGACCGCCCAAGGCGGAAGTGAGCAATGTTATCAGGTCTTGGCACCGAAACTGAAATATGATAGCCTCGTCTACCATTCTCATCACCGCCGCCGCGGGCAATCGAGCCTAGACCTACCAGACACGAGCGTAGATTCGCTGTTTACTAACCCCCCTGGCTGCTGTTACTAATTAAGTTAGAAGAAAGCACAAGGCTGTTTAGCAGTGAACATGCCGCACTAACAACCCTGCCATAATGTATATGAATGGTAATCCCACGAAAACTGCAATACGATTCGCTTCCAAAAACACTAGCCTTCAAATATGTGACTAGCGGAGCGACCTGGTTTCGCAATGGACCGCTGAACCCCGTTATAGCGCGCACGCGATAGCGTCTCGTTTTATTTTTCCTTGGTTTCCGGCGCTAGCCCGATTCTATTTCCGTGTATTAACGAGTGACCACGGGAACTAGCGAAGTTTTACTCTTGACGCGGTTTCATGAGAGAGAAATGTTTATCCGAAAATGATAAAGAAAACTTACTCTAAAAATTGTTAGGTATTATTAAAACACACCCCATGCATATATATTTAAGCACCTTGCTTAAATACGTTGGAAAAGACACCCAGACAGTGTCACGTGACTAACTCACGCCTGAACAAAATTCCAACAACACGATTCTGCACATTAATTTCCGACGTTACTTACTCAAAATGTAATTCTAAAACCTCATTTAGCTATTTTTCCGAAAATGCCTAAACTGTATATAAATCGACCCATAGTTCATAGATAGTTTCAAATTGATAAAAGCATATCTTTAAAATTTTACAGAGAAATAATTATGAAAGCCGAGGTATGTATTGTGATGTGTTCAGTAACAAGATATGCACCTTCCCGAGGCAAGGGAGGTAACTGTTAACTCGGGAAGATGCAAGTTCCATTAAATAATATCATCATAACCCCGGATACCCTTTCATTGCTCTGTCATATATATCGATCGGGTACCGGGTACACACTCACTGCTGTTACATTAACATCGGGTACGAATTCACTGCTGTGTCGACCCGTGAAGATTCGGGGTAGAATAGATCTTCAGCAACACATGCTTGCCGTAAAAGGCGACTATGGTGGTCGTAAGAGGCGACTAACGGGATCGGGTGGTCAGGCTCGCTGACTTGGTTGATGCATGTCATCGTATCCCAATTGTGTGGATCGATGCTCATGATGTCAATCACTGAACTGTCTGGTCCAGACCCGATTAGACTCATTAGTTACAGACGGCCTTCATTTTGCTGGAATATTGCTGAGTGCGGCCACGGACTTGTCCGTGGTGCGGCGTGAAACAACAAACAAACAAACACTGCAGTGTCATAACCATATCGGCCCCTGGATACCCAATCTTTACCCTATCATATCATCACATCCTACCAGGTACCCAATGAATCCCGCATCTTCACTATTTCACCCTACCAGCCTCCAAACAGTGATCTATCGGAACTACCCCATCCTATCGGGTACCCTAGTCACAGCTGTATCATTACCATTTCATCCTACCGGGTACCCATTCACAACTCAAAGTAATGGTGTTTTCCAACACATCAGCCATTACACTCAACTAACACTCAAGCGACAACAGACAGTACAAAGAAAGTGAACGTTATTAAAGTCCATGCGTTACTTACGTAGGAATCCTTCGACGACCTTCAGTACCAGAATACTAACCAGCAAGTCTGTACTGCCCTTCATGTGTGCAATTTCTCAACATTAAGATCGTACAGATGTTTCGTAACTGCAGGAATGAATCTGCCGATTTCTTATCTCCCTACAATAGTCGTTATCTTGGTCAGGAAAAAATGACATGTTGTGTCACTCAGACCTGAATATACATTATAATACTCAGGCATGGTGACATCCTAGAAATATGTCAAACTTTGACATACATTTAGACTTCGTCCACTCGTTACAATTAACTCTAGTGAAACGTGTTGTGTAACTTGTATATTGAAAAGCGATCGTAAACAGTGTCAAAATGAGAAATTGTGACGTAATTACTGTGTGACCTCATGACACATCAGGCTGATAGTGATGTCGGTATGACTTCGACAATGGTGTGAGCTTTGATTTGTTTGTTTGTTTGTTGTTTAACGCCGCACTCAGCAATATTCCAGCTATATGACGGCGGTCTGTAAATAATCGAGTCTGGACCAGACAATCCAATGATTGACTTCATGAGTATCGATCCACGCAATTGGGATCGATGACATGCATCAACCAAGTCAGTGAGCCTGACCACCCGATCCCGTTAGTCGCCTCTTACGACAAGCATAGTCAGCTTTTATGGCAAGCATGGTTGCTGAAGACCTATTCTGCTCAGGATCTGTGAGTGCTTTGAAATATGTATTACAGGTATGTGTCATATTGATAGTAAGTGATTCCTTCATCCTGAAAAATATATATAAACTGAACTGCAAAAGAAACTTTACACATTTGAAAATAATATGATTTTAAATTAGTTGTACTGGTTAAAACCCATATAGGCACAAACACATCGCCCAAACACATCGTTGTTGTACCTGTAATTTTTACCGGCAATGCGCACGATGTTTTCGAGAAAATGCGAAAAATGTAAAATCACGTGATGTAATTGCTGGTAGAATCGCACGTACCACAGGGGTGTAAAAACTGCGCAGTATCAATGTCAAACATCCATATTGTAAAATAAAACACATTTGAAATGCCAAGACTAATATCAGAACAGCGTGAGTCGTTCCTTACAGTGGAGGTGGCGTTATGGTGTGGGGTGCAATTTGTGGATGCCAGTCAACGCCCCTCGTCGTCATCAATGGAAACCTCAATGCGCTATGCTATAGAGATGACATCCTCCTTCCAGTAGTGCTGCCCTACCTCCAGCAACAATCCCGATGTGTTCTGTACCAACACGACAACGCCGGACCCCACACAGATCGTATCATAGTGGACTCCCTTGCCAACAACGTCAACGTCTTACCGTGGCCTGCATGTTCTCCTGACTTATCACCCGTAGAACACCTCTGGGACGTCTTGGACCACACCCTACCGCCAACACGCAATAGTTGACACCAGCTCTACACCAAATGAATGGAACCGCTTGCCACGTGACCTCATCAGACGTTTGACGTTTTCCGTCCGACGCTGAGTCTTTGCATGTATGGAGGCACGGGGTGGCCACATTCGGTATTAAAGTGACAAATTTTGTGTCTGTGGTCACTGTCCGTGTTCGAATGAATTGTGGTAAAAATCTGGACAACTGAATTTTCAACTCCCACTGATTTTGTTTATCTGGTGTACAAATTTAACCGCAAAATGTCAAGTTTGAGTTGTTCAATTCTTTGTGGAATTGCTGGTGTATTAATTATACTTTACCTCAAACTTTTTGTTATTTTTAGTTTATCAATTACAGTCACTTCAATCTGGTGCAATGTGTATTTTGCCGTTCAGTTTAGATATTACATTGAGCTGTTGAGGTCATTGATTGATGTCTTGAAAAGCAAACCTTTTTTATATGAGTACGGTACAGAAGTTTAACTCCATTTTCCTGGGATAAGTACTCTGCACCCACTCAGTATCATTGCTTCGTGTTAAATGGCGTTTCAAGGCTAAAAATAGCTGTCCAATCAAATCACACCTGTAATATTAGAATCGGTCTACAGCAACCCATGCTTGCTGTAAATGCGACTATGCTTGTCATAAGAGGCGATTATGGGATCGGGTGGTCAGGCTCGCTAACTTGATTGATGCATGTCATCGTATCCCAATTGCGTGGATCGATGCTCATGATATCGATCACCGGATTGCCTGGACCAGCCTTGATAATTTAGAGACCGCCGTCATACAGCTGTAATATTGCTGAAAACGGTGTTAAACAGCAAACAAACAAACACTATTATTATGATTAAGTGTTCAGTTACTCCAAACGTGAAAACAATGTCATTCTTCTCCAAATGACAGCTACGAAGATATATCAATACATAACACACACTTGAATCTTTTATTGAGACAGACATACGTACATGCATGTATCCGTTGTGGACTAATCGACAGTTTGACACGTACAAGTACAAACACGTAAAAATGCACATAAAAATATCATACACTTTGTATAACCCTGAATTCCGGTCTTTCAACCAAATCCTAAATCATTATATTGTGGAACCTGGCTAATGCGGAACTCGCACTTACTTCTTAATCCGGAGTTTCTCTAATCCGTGCGCATCTTACAAGACCAAACCATGCTGTTAAAGAGGTCCCAGAATAATAATATAGGATATACCCGTTATAAAATACACACGACTCACGCACTCAATAGTCGAGGTATGCTGGAATATAGCTGACTGCGGCGTCAAAACAAATCTATTCACTCACTCACTCACACCATTAACGTTACAGAAAGGCGAGGGCTCACACTGTGTTTAGAACACAGTATAGGCAGTGGCGAGCTGTACCCCGGACGTGTGGGCCTCGTCGTACTGCTGGATGTGGAAGCTGTGGCCGTTGAGGGTGAAAGGACAAGAAGAGCTTGGCCTGGTCAGTATACAGATTGTCCCCAGGGCCATGTCGAACGCTGGACTCGACCCGATGATGAAGGAGTCAATCTTCTTGAAGTGACCGTTCCAGGTGAAGGTGAACTCAAGCATCTGTGGCTGAAGAAGAAATCAACAGAAGGTTTGTTTTTTGTTGTTTGTTTGTTGAACGTTGATTGTTTGTTGTTTAACGCCGTGCTCAGCAATATTCCACCAATAAGACAGCGGTCTGTAATCTGTCTGCTAATCCAGTGACAGACATCATGAGCATCGACATGTACATACGCAATTGAAATACAAAGATCAGTGCATCATGTAACATGGAGATTCATAAGCATGTCAACCATTGCAAGCGTTGTCCTCGAGGAATATGATCTGCACCAGAGAGCTACACACCGAGACGACCCGTGAAGATCCGGGGTAGAATAGGTCTTCAGCAACCCATGCTTGCCGTAAAAGGCGACTATGCTTGTCGTAAGAGGTGACTAACCGGATCTGGTGGTCAGGCTCGCTGACTTGGTTGATGCATGTCATCGTATTCCAAATGCCAAGATAAATGCTCATGATGACAATCACTGGATTTTCTGGTCCAGACTCGATTACTTACAGACCGCCGTCGCATAGCTGGCATTTTGCTGAGTGCGGCGTTAAACAACAAACAAACAAACACAAAACCTACGAAAGATCAGTATATCATGTAACATGGAGATTCACAAGCATGTATATCATTGCAAGCGTCGCCCGCGAAGAATATGATCGTGGACACCCTGCACCAGAGAGCAACACAGCCAGACGCAACCTACCCCGACTTGCTTGAGGTACCCGAGGTAGTTCGCATGTCCAGCTTGTTCCTCCTTGTAAAAGCGCAACCAGTTATGAAATCCCTCCACTATGGACGACTTGTACTCGCCGACAAACACGTGTTCGAATCCGCTGCTGTCCTTTGACGACCCGCCAGATCGGGAGTAGGGTTGAAACCAGAGGGAGTAGATTTTGTCTCTTAAGGCTGTCTTACTTCCGCTATATATATCTAAAATAGATAAGAATATATCTGAAATGTCAAAAATATATTTTAAATATGTTGAATGCTGTAGGCACCATTGCTTCTGTCGCTCGGTGGTTCGTTAAACTTTGAGACATGGCCAGGCAGATCAGGGGTTTATAGCAACGATGACACACATCCAGATCCTTTAATTTCTTGCCACTTCTACGCTTCTATGCATGGTGTACACAGGACCTTTTAAGGCCAAGTATCCCACTTGACGAGTTAACTTGTGATAAGTTGTGTTTCAACGAAATAATTATCGTGCGAATGGATTGTCTGGTCAAGACTCGATTGTTTAGAAGCCGCCGTTGTATGAGTGAGTGAGTTTGGGTTTACACCGCTTTCAGCAATATTCCAGCCATATCACGCGGGGGACACCAGAAATGGGCTTCACGCTTTGTACCCAAGTGAGGAATCAAACCCGGCGTGACTAGCGAATGATTTAACCACTAGGCTACCCCACCGCCCCCACCGTTGAACGGCGTTAGGCAACACTAACTTACTCTTTTTCATGCAATTTGTGTGAGTTGCGGGTGCTACCGGTAGGGCAGGTCATGCGTACCCTTTTCGCGAACACCTGGTGTCATCACTGATTTTCAGTGATCCATTCATAAAAAATTCACCACTATTCTGCCTTTTACGTCCAATGGAATCTGTTTCGGCGGATAATCGAGACTGGTTTTTCTCTGGTGTTGATTTTATTTCTAACTTATTTTTAACTGTTGAGACTATAAATTGAGTTCGAGACAACCGGGAAGTCGACACAAACTTGATGTTGTGCAAAAAATGTGTTGTGACACCCACCCCTCTTACATTTAAAAAAACCCAACAACCTTGTATCTCTTGTATGGTAATATTAAATGGTAAGTCCCGAATATGTCAGGCACTCCTGAAAATGCAGACCCAGCGTTAAACGTAACGTCATGCTGCGTAACGCCCGCTACATCAGTACGTACGCTGGTCGACGAGGTAGTTGTATGTTGTCTCCATGACAGGAGAAGCCATGACAATGTCAAGGAAGTTGTTGATTTCAGCTTTGTCGGCGGCGGTTACTGGGTCTGCGGACCCTCTCGTCGGGTTGTAGTTGTCCCAGAGCGCCATCAACGCCTGGTACACTGGCTTCCTTAATGGCGCAGCGTTCACATTACTGAACAAGCTGAAACAGACAAAGAACATTCATGAACAAGGTAAGAGGATATTATCTGACGCCAATGTCGGCAACATTCCAACTGTATCACGAAGGCCTGTGTGGAAATTCTGAAGTCGGGACCTGGTCATGATAGCATGAAAAACGAACCACGACATCAGATTATGATGTAGTTCGTCTCACCGACTACCAATTCAACATATATTTTTTTAATGTGAAGTTTACACGATATACACCTTTTTCAATGGACGAGCCGTAACATGACCGCGAAATTGACGTTCACAACTGTAAGAACGACAAAACATTCATACGTTTTTCACGAGACCATATTCTTGAAATGACCAACCACAGACGGACAACTTCCACATTCTTTGGGAAAGCCTTGAGAATTCCCTGGCACGAATACATACAGAAGCGCTGATTCCGATCATTTGGACCCTATTATCTCAGCATACATTGAGAAATGTCAGAGAGTTTGACTGCATGATCTTTACAAATATCCCCACTACGAATACAATACATATCGATAAATAATGAATACATAATGTTATCATGATGACCTGGGTGATGAAAACCATTATTTATTTCTACAGGACTATTTGGACAACATTAGTACACATAGTCTCAAGATATCAGACTCTCTGCCTAGAGATAGCTTGTGAATATGTATTAATTTAAACTTCCCCTTGAGAAGGACCTCAAATGAAGATTTAAATTGACGCCATATGTAATGCTTACATATCTGGATATTTTAGAAAAGAACATTTATGTATGTTTTTTAATTCCTTATGGCAATCCCACAGAAAAAGTGTTCTTAAGAAACCACAATTTCACTAGTCGCCATCAAAAACAAATATGCTACTCTTTAACCTCAACATACTAAACTGATGTCCTAAAGAAACCTTAGAACTTAAAAAAATGAGTGAGTGAGTATGGTTTTACGCCGCTTTTAGCAATATTCCAGCAATATCACGGCGGGGGACACCAGAAATGGGCTTCACACATTATACCCATTAAAAAAATGAAATAGCAAAAGATTTAAAAACACAAGTTCAAACTAAATCAATGCAAAACACATCGTCCAAATACAACAATACTCTATGCAGGGACCTTTTCGTATGCGAAAAAGTGAGAAACACGTGCCACTCTGGCCGACACTACACGTGCAATTAAAGTATATACGGACGGCATGTCACCGACACGACTGACACCCGAACAACGCGAGCGGGCCCTCGGCATGATGCAGATTGCTAGAACCTTTGGATGCTCCCTTGTTGTTCTAAGGACTTCTTCGCAGTCCGAATCACACAGAACGTCCTTGCAGCCAACAACGACGTGTTGCCTTGGCCTTGCACGCTCCCCAGACATTGTCCCCAGAGAACACCTCTGGGATGTCATGGATCGTCGTGTTCGACAGCGCGCGACTACACTTCCAGCCAAGCGACAAGAACTGATCGAGGCCCTTCAAGATGAGTGGCGACGTACCCCACGTGATGTGTCATCAGACGACTGACTTTTTCTGTGCGACGGCGAGATTTTGCATGTCTTGTCGCATGGGGTGGTCATACACGCTATTTACGTGTCATTAAACTTGAGCGATTTTTTAGATGTGTGTGCCCTTTGTCCATTACGTCGAAAGTTTGTTTTTACTACCCAACCTCAATTTGGGCAACTGTCATGCCAATATCGGATGACTTTCATTTTAAATGTTGATTTCTTTGAGATTTTGGTCTTTCCAATACATTAGACTTCATGCATCTATCTATTGTGTTTTTTTTTAACTAGAGTGATTTAGAACTATGGTAAAGTTTCTTTTGGCCGTCAGTTTATGCACATAGTCTTAAGTGAAATTGGGGGCACGGGTGGCCTCGTACTCTCAGGCCCCACAATTTGCTGTGCAGGGTTGCGTCCCTTGGGCGCGCCAGAAACCTATGATTGTGGGTTTGAATCCCGGTTCGCCCCGATTATGTTTCTTTGCTTGTCAGCACCATACCCGTGCTCGCAGGTTTCACCGAAGTGGTAAACGTCTGAGACCTGCATCACCTCGCGCCTCCTCCCATGTTAAGCTGATTCGCCGTCATATACATGTGCTGTTAAAAGCGGCGTTAAAACCAACTCACTCACTCACTTAAGTTGAACAAAATTCTGTTCTGGGACATACAATCAACAGTGTTACAAAGTCTAGTCATCTGATCTCCATTTTAGTCGCTTCCTTTGACAAACACGAGTACTGGGGACGACTCTGAATCAGGGGACACCAGAAATGGGCTCCACACATCGTACCCATGTCGGGAATCGAACCCGGGTCTTCGGCGTGACGAGCCAACGCTTTAACCACTAGGCTACCCGACCGCCCCGTAGATGGACTGAAGGAGCGGGTATTGATTTCCGTATTTTAAGGTTTCAGTACATTAATATATGGTACCAGCATTGCAATAAATGTTTCCAACTGACTACTTGTTTCAGCTATAAACACATAAATCGCCAACAAGTGCCATCAAAGCCTCTTTTAAACCTAACGACTTGAGGACATGTCAAAGTGTTTCGTCGTTGACGTTACATGATGTGTCGTTTGTTTAGCTTGCTGATCTAAAAGTTTAGAATTTGTTTGTTTATTTGTTTTTTAACGCCGTTCAATATGACGTCGGTGTGTAAATAATCGAGTCTGGACCACACAATCCAGTGATTGACATCGTGAGCATCGATCCATGCAGTTGGGATACGTTGACATGCATCAACCAAGTCAGCGAGCCTGATCACCCGATCCCGTTAGTCGCCTCTTACGACAAGCATGGGTTGCTGAAGACCCATGAGAGAGACCTGGTAATATGGTAATACTTAAAGCTATTTGTTTCCTTTCGGCTCAATAAATCGAAGATGCACTTATAAAATCAGTACAACGTCACGTCAACTATCGCTTGCGTTCAAATGTGGGCTATGTCACCTGTTGAATTTCCCAATCGATTCCATATTTGGTTCATCCTTATATGGTCATCAAATGATCTAATCTCAGGTCACGCGACAAATAAAGGTCTAACTTAAGAATGTAGGTCAAGGGATCGGTACAACGGGATTGTTTTTTTATTTAGATACACACATTGAAATACAATCTATAAGATTGGCATAATTTGTAGCATTGATAACAGAGATGAGTGAAACGGACGATTATCTTTATAAACTAGGCATGGGCAGCGGGGTAGCCAAGTGGTTAAAGCGTTCGCTCGTCACGCCGAACGTCCGGGTTCGAATCTTCACATGAGTACAATGTGTGAAGCCCATTTCTGGTCTCTCCGGCCGTGATGTTGCTGGAAAAATGCTAAATGCGGCGTAATCCCTAACTCACTCAAACTAGGCGCCACATCAGCTCTTCTACGTCACCGAAGGTCCATGGCCTCGCCTGTAGCTTTATCCTTACAGAGACTGGGACCTTGGCCATGTCGATAACGGTTAACAATATTCTGACATTGGTTCTGAGTTAACATTTCACAAACTGGTTTGAATTGTTGCGTCACAATAACAAACACGAACTGTAGTACGTTATACCCGGGGTTGATGGAAGTTAAAAAGATAAGTGAATTCGTCAACTTACTTGCTCTTGGAGACGTCCGTTGTCTTTCCACTGGTAGCGTGACTGCCGATGTTAATGGTGATGTCGGCCATGTCAACCTTATCAGGGTCAACCTGCCAGAGTGCATCTGCAATGTTGTGACTGCTCACTGGGGTGTGGGGTCCCTGTGTGTGTGGTGCCTGTGTGTGGGGTGGTGCTGTACTCGCCCCAGCCTGACTTGTGGGGTGGGTGCCTGTATATACAACGGAAGAGTGGGTGGGTATGGTTTTACGCCGCGTTTAACAGTAGCAGCGACAACATGACAGTGACACCAGCAATAGGTTCCACACATTTTCCTCATAGAGAATCGAACCCGGCCTAACCTTCGGCCTTCACTATATGTCTATCACTCGAGCTTAACAATGTGTCTATTCGCTGGCCTTACCTTTGTGTTGGCAGGCGTAGTCGAAGTCGTTGCAGCAGTCGCCGTATTTGTGACAGATGTAGTTGCACTGGCAGCCTTGAGCGTTATCCAGGTGTGTGTAGCATCGACCCAAACAGCTGTTGTCGTCAGATACTGGCACAGAAACATGAGCCATTGAATAATGTTGATTCTGTCGTCTACAGTAAAACAATAAAATGTTTTATTCAATTTGGTGGCCACATATCCAGTATGTCATGTGAAAGAGCGTTTTTGTAAAAGCTGAGGGACAAAAATCCCAGAACTCTCGTGAACCTTCTATTTTATTTTGAAAAGTCCCCAATATTCTTTTTTCAGGACATCTAGCAATATTCGTCGCCAAAAATATTCTTTTCCTGTATATTATCGCTCTGAGTAGGTTAGGGCGGGTAACAAGCGGTCTATGATTTGTGCACAGCTTTACTCATTCATGTGCACGACGTCACCCATTGATGTACACGACGTCACTCATTCATGTGCACGACGTCACTCATTCATGTGCACGACGGCATGTCGCCACGTCACTTCACCAGCCACGTTAATTCCAGTAGTTCTTCATCAACCATCACCTTACCTATCTCAGTACATGTGCAGTATTGGCCACTGAGGAAATGATGGACAAGACCTCTGTGAAACTTATGGCAACACTTAGTGTGAACCAGTCAATTTAAATCTTGATCAATTCATAAAACAAAATCGGGAAATTTGACATCTTTTCGGTTTGTGCGTGCGGCAAGCTGATTGCTTGAAAACGTTAATTAAATTGTTTTTTATAAGGATTTTTTTCTCAATACCAAAATTCTTAAAACATGACATCCGGCTTTGCTTGGCCTGGTTTACTGTACTCCGCATTCTGTTTTATAGGCAGGTTCGGCTTTCAGAGCAGCATATGACGTCACCCATTGTGGCGTGACGTCATACAATTCTAGAGTGACGTCATGTCTGTCTCTTAATTGTGAGAATTCACATATAATGACAGTTCTACGGAAGTTCGCTGATAACGTAAATATTTTACAAGCGTGGTTTATTTCGCGATAAAACATTGCTCTATCATGACGTCATTTCTGGAGAATCCAACAATCGCTCGCAACTATATGACGACGTTTTTTTTGAGAGGGGAGTTTCTAGTGAGTTGTTCCCCATAGATGTAGGACATGACGATGGCCAAAAGCGTGAGAGATATGACAATCTGTATTGGGGGAAAAGGTACAGGTTATCGACGTGAGGATTGTGAGGATTGTCCAATGGAAAAGCCGTATATCGTGTAAACTTCACATTGAATAATTATACACTCAATAACACCCAAAAATCTCCCAAATACCTACATTGAGTACATGCAGAGTGTTCTACAGTTACCACAAAGACATACCCATGACCAAACCCGTATTGTTAGTTTTGTTCAGTCACAGCGTCATCTGTTTTGACACATCAGTGTAGTTTATCAGTCAGTATACAGATTTCTGTAGATTTAACCATTAAATTGAAACCAAATAAGAATTCCAGCACAAATACAATGGACATGTATTTCGCGAATTCCTAGTTTGTTTGTTTGTTGTTGAACACCGCAATATTCCAGCTATATGACGGCGGTCTGTAAATAATCGAGTCTGGACCAGACAATCCAGTGATTGACATCATGAGCATCGATCCACGCAATTGAGATACGATGATATGCATCAACCAAGTCAGCGAGCCTGACACCCGATCACGTTAGTCACCTCTTACGGCTAGGATAGTCGCCTTTTCCGGCAAGCATGGGTTGCTGAAAACTTATTCTACCCCGGATCTTCACGGGTCGCGAATACCTGGTGTCATCACTGATGTTTTGGAGGACAATGGAGAGTGATTACTCCCTGGCGTTGACGTTATATGCATGTATTATGACAAAATAAATTTATTACAAATCAAACAGTTGGAAACAAATCAAGACTAGTATGGAATATACCAGGTGATGTGAACGTAAGACACCGGGTGTTCTACAAGTGCGGCAGAACCAAGGCTGCCATGTCTGGAACTGAGACCACCAGAGGCGCTATCTATGTCGGAATGTCCACCGAGTTCCATCAGGTCAGTCAAGTGGACCGCACCTCTGATTGTTGTACTGGATACTCCGTGGACAGATAAGGTCACCGCGAATAAATCTGTTTGAAGCATTCTACACTTATCCGTAACACAAAATCACTTATGATCCTAAGGAGACATTAGTGACCAACTCGAATAGCGACTCGTGGCCCTCTCGTGGCTATTTTTGCGACCGGGTTCCGTCTTAGCGCAAACGGGCATACCTAAAACAATTGTCAACTCGTTGCGTAATGGTTCACATTTATTTCCCCATATATTATATAAATTTCAGATGCAATTTAAAGCACAACGGGAGATGCGGAATTGTACAGTATGAATGAACACATTTAACTATGTCTTGGGTATATGTTAGATGCAAGACATATGTAAAATCAAAAATTATTTCTGAGGGATTCTTTGACGAAGAACTTGAAATCATACGCGCATTCTGATTGGTTTGTCGTATTTTCGCACATAACATTCATCGATAGGGGGACGAGTCTTCTTGTAGGTTACGGAAAGGGGCGAGATGTGACGAATACCTAAGGACAGTCAATGTCCCAGCCAATGAGCAGTCGTTCAAAATAATTTAAAACTTTATCTCGAGTGTCACGATTCAAATCCGTTTATCCGTTTCTATCGATTGCCACAAAGAAAAATATTAGGTGGATAAGTCGAAAAGATAAAAATATAAAACTTACATATTTCATTTTTTTATTTTCTTAAAGGGTTCTGTAGGTACCATAAAAAGTAGGGGCGGGAAGAATAGGGAACGAAACAAGCTTAGAGTTGACCTCCCTTCCGTTTAAGACACGGATATATCGAAGTTCGTCATAATTCATTGTGTTTTGAAGTTTCTAAGATCAATTTTCTACAGGTTTTAATAACTGTATTTTAAGTTTTAAAATATTTATATTGATAATGACAGTACATGAGTGTTTCTTTTTACATTTTACTTATTTCTGGTCGGGGGAATAAAAATACCCATTGTTTTTTATTTTATTTTTTTGCATTTCAATTTCGGGGGATTCGTAAAACCAAGTGTTATAAAAGTTCTGACCCAAGAGCACATAGCCCACATATTAGGTTCACACAGGGTATGTCTAGACGTCGACTGGACATGGACCGCACAGCATTGTCTAACGTTCATCTGTCATGTCTGTGCTCGTGGATTTGACCAAGTGCATCACTTCGGGCTATCCTCCCACATTTAACAGACACGTCGTGAGGTAACTGGAATATTGTTCAAGGCGGCGTTAAACCCAACTCCCTCAAGTCTTTGAACGGCCGGGTTTTCTTTCTAGCAACTTCAAAGTCTGTCTGTTTGCCAACTCAGTTAGCCCCGACGTGTACCTCGCAGTTGGTGAGTCTTCTAATTCCATAGACACAATGTGCCGGTTGCACACACGCCATTCATTGCAAAGTCTGTTCAAGAATGGATAAAGGGAAACAACAGTTGCATCACCCCCTTTAAGAAATGCGTATGTTAAGCGTATGGGGGTTACTAGACCGATGAAATAACTCATGCCTGGTTCGTACAGAATGCCAGTATAAATCGTGCTAATGTCTGTTGCAGATTGTAATGATTGTTTTGATGAGTGACGTTTTAGAGGACTGCAATTTTAAGTGTGATGGTAACAAAACCATTAAAACAGATCATTGAACAAATCACTTTTAGACGTTTACACATACATACAGTTATAATTATGTAAGTAGATCGGAGATTCACATCTCTCAACGTGTGGTAGAATATAAGAACAATTTTACATATTATGAACAATCTAACGTATTAGCAGATGGAGACTAACGCTTAACGGGCCAGAAGCTAATTGCATCGGTTCATTTTCAGAAAGTGTTCCTTTAATTTAGATTCATGAATCAATTGAAAGATGTGGCCTTCATGGAGTATGTTTAGTACACACTGATAACCTAATTCCTGTAGTGCTGCGGGGTTCAGAACTGCTTACTAAGTAAAACAAGCTCCATTGGGGAGGATCAAGAAGAAGAAGAAGAAGAAGAAGAAGTTTATTCATGAATGAAGGCCACATGGCCCAGAGTTCATTTACATGAATAATATTTGCTTTGCACATGCATATATTTTCTTCTCCATTCTGGTGGATCAGACATTGAATGAAAGGTACTGGCAAGGTTCGTTTTTTTGCAGGTTTTGTTTGTAGTATCAATAACAAATCTGAATGAGGATGCGAAATGAAAATATCTGAATAATCACAAATGTCTGTCATTTGATGTGTCTCTGCTTATCGTATCGCATATATTCTGCAGAAAATATATTTTTTTAAACGTTCAACTTGGCAACATGAATTTGTGCCAGGGGATCGTATATGTCGCTGTCATTACAAGTTGATGGGAAAAGGTTACATATTTTTTCAAGAAAAAGCGGTTTAATCAGTTCAACGGTTAACCTTATCTTATTGCCTGATATGTGGGTACTCTGAAATGTGTGTCGCAAGTATGTCAAATCAATATGTCACCAAATGAAACGAATCTTTATCAGTACATTCTATGCGTTTACTCATTAATGATACACACAATTCCACGTGCACTATTCAACATATTAATGACGAACTCTCATCCGTTCTAACTCTCTTAACAGTTCGCCATCTAGAAGGTCGACAAATCATTTTGTTTTGTTTTGATTTCTACCATCATATAGATATATGCTTCATATTTCTCTGAAACTAATAGGCAAATAGTTCACTTACACGTCATTTAATGTCATTTGATGTCATTTGATGTAAGCTTTAAAACAAAAGGTTACAAAGCCAAAGTTCACGCAATGCCTAATAAAGCAAAAATACAATTATCTGATTAATATACAAGTTATTATTCAAAGCAGCACAACGCCCTTTGAAAATATAAATATTTGCATGAACAAAATGCTTAGCGCTTAATTGCAGATACCAACATGTAACAAGACAAAACAAGTTAAAGTAACCAGGATGCAGAATGAGGTACTCACAGATGAAGGCAGCAGCTATGTGGAGTCCCAGAAGGGAGGAGGCGACGGCGGTGAAGACCTTCATGCCGCGGGTTCCGTCAAGACTGACCTCAACTCTTCTCGGTCCGACTTCTTATCACGCCCCCGTACACTCCTTCAGCGTTTTGTAGTACACTGTATGACGTTTGATAAAAAGCAAACAAGGCAAGAAACACGACGCGTTCTTTGGTATTTCCAGTAACCAGTGGTTAGAAGCATGCATTTTTGTATTACGTTACATATTTCGGATAATAAATCAGATGGAAAATAGAAAGCCATGTCACAAACTTTGCGATTATTATTTTTATATTTATTATCATTATTATTATCATCATCATTATTATTATTATTATTATTATTATTTACAGATTAAAATTACAAATGCAGCAAAGAGGGTTTGGGTGATCCTGGGACAGTCAGGCTGGTTAGGTTCATCATCAGCTCAGGACCCTTGCCCCCTCTACACGCAGCCCAGACAGTGAGTGGGACTTCTCCCAGGAAGCTGCCTAGTCAAACCCTTCCAGAACTTTTCGGAGAATGTGAAGACTCCCCAACACTGCAGCCTTCTGCATTACCCATACTGTCAGAAGGGCTGTATTCCTGGTAGCAAACCCGGGTACTCTCCCAATGTCAGTAAACCGATTGGGATGTACCAAACCTAAGGCACAGACAACAATGGGGAGTCGGACAACTTGGTACTTGGATGCAAGCGTGACATTTCGGAAGCGAGGTCCGCATATTTGCCATATATATCCTCAATCTTGTCAATCACATTGTCAAAAGGGACAGAAAATTCAATGATATAAATGATTGAATTGGATTTATCAAAATGGACAAGATCAGGTTTGTTTGCCTGGATACGTCTGAGGCTGTATACGGGCCTTTTCCAAAGAATTTTGTATTTATCATTTTCCATGACGCCCTCTACATATTCCGGGTCGTACCATGGTTGGACCTCTGTGTCAAAACCATAAGCATGTCGAAGACGGTAATAAAATGATCGAGCCACGCCGCCATCATGTCGCTTAAGATACTGTGTTTGTGCCAAGGCTGGGCATCCACTGACAATGTGTTGGACAGTCCCATTAAATTCATTACATAATCTACATTTCATGTTTACATTTTGATGCAACATCACACATTGACGGTTTCGATTAGGAAGTGACTGGTCCTGAGCAGCAAACAGAAAGCCTTTTGTTTCACTTTTCAGGCCAGATGACTTCATCCAAGTGAAGGACTCTGCAGGGCTGCTGACCTTCTCAACACACTGCACATACACTCGATGCAGTAGTCGTCCAGAAAGCCTCTCCTTGAAAAACTGAGTCTGGGCCGATTTGCTATGGCACTTCCCTTGGTTGACACTCATTTCTATACCGTCCAGCAGTACAGAACCATCAACAAAATCAACATTGACATTGAGATTATGTCCCACACCCTTGGTTCGTTTTAGAAAACTGTGGAATGTCATGTTCTCATCATGAGTTTTGACATGCTTCACAAAAGGATCATCAGACAAATAAATGTGTGCAAAAGTGCACAAAACAATTCTATCATGAAGAGCCCAAACGTTAATCAAACCACGTCCTCCCATAATGATTGGTAAATATAAGCGATTGAGGGAAGAGCGAGGGTGGTGGAATCTATTGTCTGACATGATTCTTCGTGTGAGGGTGTCAATACCCTGAATGTCTTGTTTCGTCCAATCAACAACACCAAAAGTATATGAAAGGACGGGCACAGCATAAGTATTTGTGGCTTTTACTTTGTTGCGAGCGTTCAGCTCTGAACTCCGGATTTTCTGAAGTCTACATTTGTACTCTGCCCGAGGTTTTTCCTTGATATGGGCATTCTGGAGTTTGTCTCTAATCTGCATCCCTAAGTACGTATATGCCTGACCTTCCACGAGATGGCCAATAACTCTTCCTCCAAGTAAACTGTCTGATCCTCCCTCTTCTACCTTGCCACGTTTCAAATGAAGAATGTTGTATTTGTCGAGTCCAAAGGACATGCCAATATCATTAGAAAAGGACTCGACAAGCAGAATCTGTTTTTTGAATGTGGATCCCCCACTTCAGTTCAAGGTCATCCATGTAAAGGATGTGAGTAAAGGGTGTTGGGGATCTGTGCCGAGGAGGTCCAGGATGATAACCTTCCTCTTTGCTAAGCAAAAAGCTTAAAGGATTTAATGATAAACAGAAAAGCAAAGGACTGAAAGAATCGCCCTGAAATCTTCCTCTTCTAATAGAAATGGGTTCCGAAGTCACCACCTGCCCCTGCGAATACATCTCAAGTTGAGGTGACCAGCAATTCATTAAAGACTTGAGTAAAACAAGTAGTCGCTCGGGGAGGTCAATACATTCCAGTGACTTCAAAATCAATCCGTTAGGTACAGAATCATCAGCTTTTCTGTAGTTTATCAAACACATTGAAAGGTTACGGTGGTAAGTTTTAGCCTCTTCGAGGATCATTTTCTGAACCAGCAATTGATCCTTACAACCCCAACATCCCTTTCTGGCTCCTTTCTGCTCCATGTAGATAATGTAATTCTTCTTCTTCTTCTTCTTCTTCTTCTTCTTCTTATTATTATTATTAGTGGTTGTAGTTGTAGTAGTAGTAGTAGTAGTAGTAGTAATCAACGGTCCCAGGCCTCCAGAGTGAGTGAGTGAGTGAGTGAGTGAGTGAGTGAGTCATATAATCCTATTGTTGACACAACCGTGTTATGTGTATCAGGCGTCTGTTCCGCGATCGTGTCACTGGATTTTCTGCTCCATCACTAGATTGTCTGGTTTGTTTACAGGCCACCGTCGCATGGCAAGAGTACTGCTGTGCAGGGTCCGATAACAAACTCCCATTTTGTTTATGCAAATTGTATAAATGGCGGGTGCTACCGGTAGGAAGGGACACGCTTACCCTGGTGTCATAACTGATTGTAAGATAATGTTCGTCGTTATTTTCCTTTTACTTCGCTCGTCACGCCGAAGACCCGGGTTCGATTCCCGACATGGGTACAATGTGTGAAGCCCATTTCTGGTGTCCCCCGCCGTGATATTGCTGGAATATTGCTAAAAGCTGCGTAAAACCATAGTCACTCACTCACTCACTCATTATTTTCCTTTTATGCCCAATGGGGCGTGCTCCGAACTAGGCTGATACTTCCAGGCTCGATCGTAGCGCCACCAGTGCCTATTAAGGGTTAACTGGAAACTGGACTTTTATAGTCAGTTAGCTCCCTTGTCTCGGGAAGATGAGTTAACCATGACCAACCCTTATCCAATCTAGTCAACCATTGCCTTTTCGTATTTAAAATAGTTAATCAATGTCAACCCTTATTTAACCTTGTCGACTCCTCCTATCTAACCTTGACAACCATTGACAACCCTTTTTCAATCTTGTCGACCATTGCCTTCTCGCATGTAACATAGTTAATCAATGACAACACTTATTTAACCTTGTCGACCAGTGCCTTCTCTTTTAAACATAGCTAATCAATGTCAACCTTTAATTCAATCTTGTCGACCATTGCCTTCTCGCATGTAACGTACTAAATCAATGACAACCCTTATTTAGCCTTGTCGACCATTGGCTTCTCTTTTAAACAAAGTTAATCAGTGTCAACCCTTATCTTACCTAGTCAGCCATTGACGACCCTTTATCTAACCATTTTCAACTCTTTTATCTAACCTATTCTAGTAATGCAAAGCCTTATCTAACCTAGTCGACTACTGGCAACCCCCATCTAACCTCACAACCATTGCCTTGTTTTATCTAACCTAGGTTGCCAAAACCAGCTGTAATCTAACCAAGACAACCTTTGCCTTCTCTTTTCTAACCTTGTCAACCATTGTTCTCATTTGTTTAACCAGTTTAACAATGACAACCCTTATCCAACCTAGCTAACCATTGTCAAACCGTATCTAAACTAGTCAATCATTATTTACTCTCACCTACTCTAATCAACCATTGCCGTCTCTTGTCTTACCTAGTTAACCATTGTCAAATTCAAAGTCTTCATTTCTCCATAGACCACCGACGGTGGTACAAGAGCATATATACACTACAGAAATAAATCAAGAAGGCTGTGTGCATTTAGATTTAGCATTCAAAGTGGTAAATACAAATAAAACATAGTTTGATAGACGTTTAACCTCGTTTAGTTTAGTTATTGAAAATAGACTTTTTAATGAAAACACATTTGACCAAGTTAAATATCTGCTAGGAATAAGTAAAAGTTATCAAAAGCTTGACATCGAAATACATAATGGAATTCATCAGCTATTGCCGGGGAGTGACAGAGTGAACAAAAACGTTCTCTAGGTACATTATTCCAGCGGCCAGTCTCGCCTGGTAAAATGTGGTTATCAGTGCGAAATTTTAAGAGCGGGTAATAAACCGATTTAGGTAAATAGCGATAGTTTTCAAACAATGGCATTTCTTTAAGATATTTATAATAGAAACCTTTTGAACTCGACATTATTGAACTTTTCCAGGATTGTAGAAAATGATCGGTCAAACTTATATTTTTGGTGGATGACGTCAGGCTTGGAACGTATACTCCAGCTGCCGTATAGTAATTCTCCAACATCCTATAAAACGAAATTTGAACAAAAGCCATTTTCTGGGACATACTGTGATCTTTATTCCAACATTACAAAGCTGGGTAAGCCTCGGTGAGCGCTATCCCTTGTCTGTGAGTCACGACTCTGAACGGCGTGCTGTTGATGTTATAACTGCAGGTTCCTGTGGTATTGCTAAGGGCACAGATGCTGCTCAAGTTGATGTCAAACATAGGACTGCTTCCGAGGAAGAAGCTAGTGACGACTGACCTGGTGTTACTGGGCATTGTAAACACTGCTTCAACCAGGAACTGCAACACAGAAGAAACTGTCATGTATACAAACTGTAATCATAATGTTATTACTAGTGGTATACAACAAGAGCTAGGAGAGTTATGTCTCTTTGTAAAGTAGCCAGCAAGCTCCTTCCCAGCGCGTGACACCTTCGTTACACTCTCGGTAACATCACTGCCACCATTGTGGGAGTGGCCATTACAAGAATCATGAAATTTGCCCTCTATCCCAAATGTAGTAACGTTTATACTTTTGTTTATGTCTTTGGGAATGCCAATACAGTTATTTTATAAAAGGTTTATGACTGACCATATTTTCCAGATGAATTAACCTTTTTGTTTGTTTATCATCGACCCTATATATAGAGTGTATTAAGTGTCCATGGTTTTATCGGATTGGTTCGAGATTGCAAACGAACGGAAAGTCAACCAACTTCTCCCTTACATTCTTACCATACCAATTACACGATAGTTGTAAGGAAACAGAAATTCAAATTCACAAACAAAGAAAGTAATTTAGCAGGGGTAAGAGTATTCGGCATCACGGCAGTCATCACTTGTTGGAAAACATAACGGTCAGTCGGTTGCTAGTTCAACTCAAAGCATGGCTGTAGCCACCTATCACAGTATAGAGTTTTGATTGGTGGCAGCGATAGTATAGGGGGCTCCGCGAACGGGATATCGCAGCAAGGAGCTGACATCCATACATTTTCTTGTCATTATTTATAAATGAGTTGGTTTTAACGCCGTTTTTAACATTATTCCAGTTATATCACGGCGTGTCAGCTTAATGTGGGAGGAAAGCCCGAAGTGATGCAGGTCTCAGACGTTTACCACTTCGGTGAAACCCACGAGCACGGGTATGGTGCTGACAAACCTAGAAACATAATCGGGGCGAACCGGGATTCGAAACCACAATCATAGGTTTCTGGCGTGCCCAAGGGACGCAACTCTGCACAGCGAATCGCGGCGCCTTAGACGACTGGGCCACCCGTGCCCCCTATTTATAAATGATGCGAGACTGGGTGTAACAATACCACGATGTCGTTGTGATTTAAAACACCTACTCAGCTAAATCCATCGTCGACTTCACACATTCACATACACACACCGATTGATGGTTTGGTTGTAAACTTAATATTTTTCAATAATTATCGATTATAGTATAAGATCTATTTCGTGCCAACAACCTACGTCGGTTTTCTTTGTGTATCCCCAATACCCGATTCTGCCGGCTTTCTCTTCAAGATAGAATCGAACCCAGTTATGAGGCCCTGAGTTACTGGAGCCTCCCTGTCGACCCAACACCATAGTTTGGAAGCCAGTTGTGTTAGACGTTGATCCGCTGCTCGTGTAGGGTTTGAACCAGAGATTGGTGAGAGCGCGGCGGTAATCTGACAAGTTGCCTTTGATATAATCTGAAAAGGAAACATAAGGTAAAACCTTCACACAGTAAACGTTTCTTTACCATAAAGACATGATTATATTAAGTAAAAATACGTATATAGGAAGTTATTGTGACCTCCCGATCCTGTTAGCCGCCTAACGACAAGTATAGTTACCTTTTACGGCAAGCATCGGTTGCTGAAGACCTATTGCATCCCGCATCTTCACGGGTCACGTGGTAACGACAGCCATTTAGTGTACAGGTTTGCTCTGTTTGATACGCAAACACGCCTACATTCTATTCAGTTCATATGTCGTATACCGTGCCTTTGCATGTGTTTGTGACGTGTGCCACCTGTGTGACAGGATACGCTTACCTTCAGGCAAACACCTTGTATTATCACTACATGATACTGATTCATAAACACATGCTATAGACGTAGTCGGAATTGTACAACGGACTCTGCTTCCTGCCGGGCGGTCGGGTAGCCTAGAGGTTTAAGCGTTCGCTCGTCACGCCGAAGACCCGGGTTCGATTCCCAACATGGGTACAATGTGTGAAGCCCATTTCTGGGGTCCCCCGCCGTGATATTGCTGGAATATTGCTAAAAGCGGCGTAAAACCATACTCACTCACGCTGCTTCCAGCAGGTATTTCTTATAATTATGGAAATGGTTATGTCGAGTGTACATTTACTATACGATATCTCGAAGAAGTGATATTAGACCCTCCCCCCGTAATCCGCATGCAACCGATCCCTCCGCAGACAGCTGAACGTCGTGCACCAGAAATGTCTTTTATGGTTTAGAGACATGACGTTTACAATTTGACATCGAGCGAAATTTGCAAACGGAAAACGAAAACCCCTAGAATGTGAACCAGTGAAACTAGTGAAGGCGCTTCCAACATACAGATTCATTCAATGTTAGCCGATATTCATTCAATGATGTGTGCGGAGCGGCTATCCTTGGACAACTTACTGTTTTTAAGGAGATGCGCATGCGCTGTTCGTGTTACCTCCGACGTAAACAACGCATCTAAGAAAGCGTCGACCAGCGATTGGCTAGTTTGACCAGTTGGGGGATCGTAGCTGTTTATAAGTGCGATAAACGTCTTGTATGAAGGATAAGTGAAACGACTTTCATCCACTTTGGTAAATAATCTGAAGAAAACATTAAATATTGTTAAAATAGTTCATAATATTTTTCCTAAATGATTCCTACCGCCTATTAGACGTGACATTGCCATTTACGAGAGATGACTGACAAGTTCTGAGCCTAACTATGAAGGATGAATATTACACCCATAACAAGTTGTATGCATTAGGTGAGGGGAAATTGGGTTTAACGTCGCGTCCAAGATTATTGCACTTATATAGCGACGTGCATGTACGTGTGTGTGTTTGTGGCTGCTTGTACTAGTCCGGACTGATGCCGATTTATAGTGCTAGCTCACTGAGATACCATGACACAGTTTAACATGAATACCCCACTCAGACACAGTATACTGACTCCGAGCCGACCAGTCCTTGTTTTAGCCCCTTTATGCCAAGCGCCAGACAGGGTAACAACAAGTTTCATGTTTTAACGTCTTTTTGTATGACGTGGCCAGGGATCGAACCCCGGGCCTTCCGCTCTCCGGTCGGGCGCTCTAACACTAGACCACGGAGGCGGTCTGCATGTATTAAGTGCACTTTTGTCCATGGGTACAGGCTGCATGCGACACAAATATTCAACCAGGCAGCATATGTCTGAAGGCATCAAAGTGGCTAGTTGATGGAAATGGACAACACTGGCTATCGCGCTGCCATCACGTATTTCCGACCGAAAGGGCGACTGAAACCACAGCAGCCAACCATGCGGACATAGTGTCAACTTAAGGGGATGATGCTCCTACCCTTGCCACTACTAAGAGGTGTGTGTGTGTGTGTGTGGGGGGGGGGGGGGGGGGGGGGGGGTAATTGGGAAGACCTCCAACTGCCACCACTCAAAGGAAATGTTGATGAAATACATCATGACTGTGGGTGATCTGCGACTCACCACATGTAACATAGCCAACACAGTAGGCGTCTCTCGTGAAAGACTTCGGGACATTCTGGGGAATAAACTGGGTATGACAAAGGGTTTCAAAGCGTCTGACTCCTAATCAGTAACGCTCCACGTTCACCATAACTTATTAGAATGTACGTTATGTTCAGTGAGTGCGTGAGTATGGTTTTACGCCGCTTTTAGCAATATTCCAGCAATATCACGGCGGGGGACACCAGAAATGGGCTTCACACATTGTACCCATGTCGGGAATCGAACCCGGGTCTTCGGCGTGACGAGCAAACGCTTTAACCACTAGGCTACCCGACCGCCCACGTTAGTTTGAAGCAGACCCAGCTTATTGTATTGACCGATGTGTAGCCATGGATGAGTCTTGGGTTCATCACTATCGGCCAGAGATTAAACAGAGCAGTGCAAACATCTAACGTATCCTCCACCGCAAAAGTTAATGTCTGTTCCACCGGCGGGCAAGATGATAGTTTCGGTTTTTTGTGACTCTAAAGAAATCCTACTAGGGGACTACCTCCCGAAAGGTCAGATCATAAACTGTGTACATGTATGCCTAGTTTTCAAAACTGTTGGTGGTTTTAATGTAACTACAGTAAACTACGGTTATAACGAACACGTTTAAAACGAACTGACCGATATAACGAACTTATTTTTTAGTCCCGTCCATTTGTTGTTTATATGCTGTATATATGCTTATAACGAACTACGGTTACAACGAACCAAAATTAGTGGTCCCTTTGAGTTCGGTATAACCGTAGTTTACTGTATAAACTTACGGTTGTGATGTCTGGTTGAAACTTCCGTTAACGTCCACGTTTGGTCCGTAGTTGACTGTGATTTCGTCTGGTTCAAATCTGTCCACATCGATCTTCCACAACGTCTCTGCTATCAAAGCTGAGGATGCTGAAGATCCCCCTATGAATCAGAACAGGAAGACATCGCGCTCTGATCAAAGGTATTCTGTCATCATACTTCCGTAATAGAAAATTATCTATTATTCAGTTTCGTCATATAGAGGGTATTCTGTTATGATAGTGACGTCATACAGAAGGAATTCCGTCATGATAGAGACGTCATACAGAGGGTATTCTATCATGATAGTGACGTCATACAGAGGGTATTGTCATGATAGTGACGTCATACAGAGGGTATTCTGTCATGATAGTGACGTCATACAGAGGGTATTGTCATGATAGTGACGTCATACAGAGGGTATTCTGCATTGATAGTGACGTCATACAGAGGGTATTCTGTCATGATAGTGACGTCATACAGAGGGAATTCCGTCATGATAGTGACGTCATACAGAGGGTATTCTGTCATGATAGTGACGTCATACAGAGGGTATTCTATCATGATAGTGACGTCATACAGAGGGTATTGTCATGATAGTGACGTCATACAGAGGGTATTCTGTCATGATAGTGACGTCATACAGAGGGTATTGTCATGATAGTGATGTCATACAGAGGGTATTCTGCATTGATAGTGACGTCATACAGAGGGTATTCTGTCATGATAGTGACGTCATACAGAGGGAATTCCGTCATGATAGTGACGTCATACAGAGGGTATTCTGTCATGATAGTGACGTCATACAGAGGGAATTCCGTCATGATAGTGACGTCATACAGAGGGTATTCTGTCATGATAGTGACGTCATACAGAGGGAATTCCGTCATGATAGAGACGTCATACAGAGGGTATTCTGTCATGATAGTGACGTCATACAGAGGGAATTCTGTCATGATAGTGACGTCATACAGAGGGCATTCTGTCATGATAGTGACGTCATGTTGAGGTTGTTATTACGGTAACGTCGCATACATGGTATTATCTCATCATAGTAAAGCCATTTATAAAATAGCTATGTGATAAATCGCAAAGAAAAACGAAGAACGAAGCATGGTTTATTTCGCGATAAAACATTGTTCTATCATGACGCCATTTCTTGAGATTCGAACGTGCACTCGCACCTTGATGAGGACGTTATTTTGGAGTGGGGAGTATCTGGTGAGTTGTTCCCCATAGATGTAACAGGGCAACGCAGGTAAACGCGATGGCCGGACGATCGCATCCCAAAGCGTGAGAGATATGACAATTAGTATTGGGAGAAAAGGTGCAGGTAATCGATTTGAGGATTCTGAGAATATGCGGGAATTACCCACATGTGCATAAAATGGACTTTCTGACGTTGCCGAGGTCGGACTCTATATTATCTAAATAGGTGTTAATATAAATAAAGCTTGCACATTTGAACATCCTTAAAGAGACTGTACATAATGTTGATATCTCATATAAGAAATAAATGACTCGTGCTCGTTGTTTATCGTACAATAAAACACTGCAGGGCGAAAAATACTCGGAGCTGCGCCCCGCATGGTTTATTCTCCCTGTAGTGTTTTATTGTACGATAAACAACGAACACGAGTCCTTTATTTCTTAAATGGAGATTACTCCGTCATGAAATCAGGCCATAAAGAGGGTAGGTTGTCGACATAGAAGCTTCAAATAGATGACTGTCTATCATTAACGTAACGTCATATAGAGGGCATTTTGACAAAGTTGTAATGCTATGTAGATTACTGTCTATCTTTAAAGTAACGTCATATAAAGGGTATTTTGACAAAGTTGTAATGCTATATAGATGACTGTCTATCTTTAAAGTAACGTCATATAAAGGGTATTTTGACAAAGTTGTAATGCTATGTAGATGACTGTCTATCTTTAAAGTAACGTCATATAGAGGGCATTTTGACAAAGTTGTAATGCTATGTAGATGACTGTCTATCTTGTTGTTACCCTGTTTGGCCCTCGGCATTAAGGGGCTAAAACAAGGACTGGTCGGCCCGGAGTCAGTATACTGTGTCTGAGTGGGGTATTCATGTTAAACTGTGGCATGGTATCTCAGTGAGCTAGCACTATAAATCGGCATCAGTCCGTAGTAGTACAAGCAGCCACACAAACACATACACGTACATGGACGTCGCTATATAAGTGCAATAATCTTCGACGCGACGTTAAACCCAATTTCACCTCACCTCACCTCACATTGGGCGTAAAAGGCAAAATTGCCGTTAATATTGTATTATGACACCAGGTTTTTGCGAAAACTGCAAGCATGTCCTCTCCTACCGGTAGTAACCGCCTTTTACACAATGTGTATAAAAGTATGTGCTTGGTACCTGATGCCGCGCAAACAAACCAATCAAGTGTTGGACGAAAAAATCCAGTGACACTATAGCACATTTTGTTGTTGTTGTTGAAACCAAAATCGTTGTACTAATTTTGAATTACGTCTGATGTGTACAAGGGCAGCGATTCTGCTGCTTGGAAGTATGGATCTAACACACGTCACCTTCAGGACATGCTGTCTTGTAGTCACCACAACAGTTGCTGTACTGGGAGCACAGGTCGTTACACTGACAGGGCAGTGCAGAGTCGTAGAAATTGTGGCACTTCCCGGCACATGTGCCTGTCAAACACAGACACCTGCATTAAACTACAGGATATACAGCACACGGAGACCTGCGTTAAACAGGAGAACATAGAACATACAGAGAACTGCATTAAACTACAGAAACATAGAACACACGGAGAAATGCATTAAACTACAGAAACATAGAACACACGGAGATCTCTATTACACTACAGAAACATAGAACACACGGAGACCTGCGTTAAACAAAAGAAATATACAACACACGGAGGAGACCTGCATTAAACTAGAGAAACATAGAACACACGGATACCTGCATGAAACTACAGAAACACAGAACACATGGGAACCTGCATGAAACTACAGAAACACAGAACACATGAGAACCTGCATGAAACTACAGAAACACAGAACACATGGGAACCTGCATGAAACTTCAGAAACACACAAAACACACGGAGATCTGTATTACACCAGACAGACATAGAACACATGGGAACCTGCATGAAACTTCAGAAACACAGAACACACGGAGGCCTGTACTACACAAGACAGACATAGAAAACATGGGAACCTTCATGAAACTACAGAAACACAGAACACACGGAGATCTGTATTACACTAGACAGACATAGAACACATTGGAACCTGCATGAAACTACAGAAACACAGAACACACGGAGGCCTGTACTACACAAGACAGACATAGAACCCATGGGAACCTGCATGAAACTACAGAAACACAGAACACACGGAGGCCTGTACTACACAAGACAGACATAGAAAACATGGGAACCTGCATGAAACTACAGAAACACAGAACACACGGTGATCTGTATTACACTAGACAGACATAGAACACATGGGAACCTGCATGAAACTACAGAAACACAGAACACATGGGAACCTGCATGAAACTTCAGAAATACAGAAAACACGGAGATCTGTATTACACTAGACAGACATAGAACACATGGGAACCTGCATGAAACTTCAGAAACACAGAACACACGGAGATCTGTATTACACAAGACAGACATAGAACACATGGGAACCTGCATGAAACTACAGAAACACAGAACACATGGGAACCTGCATGAAACTACAGAAACACAGAACACACGGAGATCTGTATTACACTAGACAGACATAGAACACATGGGAACCTGCATGAAACTACAGAAACACAGAACACACGGAGGCCTGTACTACACAAGACAGACATAGAACCCATGGGAACCTGCATGAAACTACAGAAACACAGAACACACGGAGGCCTGTACTACAGAAGACAGACATAGAAAACATGGGAACCTGCATGAAACTACAGAAACACAGAACACACGGTGATCTGTATTACACTAGACAGACATAGAACACATGGGAACCTGCATGAAACTACAGACACACAGAACACATGGGAACCTGCATGAAACTTCAGAAATACAGAAAACACGGAGATCTGTATTACACTAGACAGACATAGAACACATGGGAACCTGCATGAAACTTCAGAAACACAGAACACACGGAGATCTAGATTACACTAGACAGACATAGAACACATGGGAACCTGCACGAAACTACAGTAACACAGAACACACGGAGGCCTGTACTACACAAGACAGACATAGAAAACATGGGAACCTGCATGAAACTACAGAAACACAGAATACACGGAGATCTGTATTACACTAGACAGACATAGAACACATGGGAACCTGCATGAAACTACAGAAACACAGAACACACGGAGGCCTGTACTACACAAGACAGACATAGAAAACATGGGAACCTGCATGAAACTACAGAAACACAGAACACACGGAGATCTGTATTACACTAGACAGACATAGAACACACGGATACCTGCATGAAACTACAGAAACACAGAACACACGGAGATTTGTATTACACTAGACAGACATAGAACACATGGGAACCTGCACGAAACTTCAGAAACACAGAACACACGCAGATCTGTATTACACAAGACAAACATAGAACACATTGGAACCTGCATGAAACTACAGAAACACAGAACACACGGAGGCCTGTACTACACAAGACAGACATAGAAAACATGGGAACCTTCATGAAACTACAGAAACACAGAACACACGGAGATCTGTATTACACTAGACAGACATAGAACACACGGATACCTGCATGAAACTACAGAAACACAGAACACATGGGAACCTGCATAAAAACTACAGAAACACAGAACACACGGAGATCTGTATTACACTAGACAGACATAGAAAACATGGGAACCTGCATGAAACTACAGAAACATAGAACACATGGGAACCTGCATGAAACTACAGAAACACAGAACACAAGGAGATCAGTATTACACTAGACAGACATAGAACACATGGGAACCTGCATGAAACTTCAGAAACACAGAACACACGGAGGCCTGTACTACACAAGACAGACATAGAAAACATGGGAACCTGCATGAAACTACAGAAACACAGAACACACGGAGATCTGTATTACACTAGACAGACATAGAACACATGGGAACCTGCATGAAACTACAGAAACACAGAACACACGGAGGCCTGTACTACACAAGACAGACATAGAAAACATGGGAACCTGCATGAAACTACAGAAACACAGAACACACGGAGATCTGTATTACACTAGACAGACATAGAACACACGGATACCTGCATGAAACTACAGAAACACAGAACACACGGAGATTTGTATTACACTAGACAGACATAGAACACATGGGAACCTGCATGAAACTTCAGAAACACAGAACACACGGAGATCTGTATTACACAAGACAGACATAGAACACATTGGAACCTGCATGAAACTACAGAAACACAGAACACACGGAGGCCTGTACTACACAAGACAGACATAGAAAACATGGGAACCTTCATGAAACTACAGAAACACAGAACACACGGAGATCTGTATTACACTAGACAGACATAGAACACACGGATACCTGCATGAAACTACAGAAACACAGAACACATGGGAACCTGCATAAAAACTACAGAAACACAGAACACACGGAGATCTGTATTACACTAGACAGACATAGAAATCATGGGAACCTGCATGAAACTACAGAAACATAGAACACATGGGAACCTGCATGAAACTTCAGAAACACAGAACACACGGATATCTGTATTACACTAGACAGACATAGAAAACATGGGAACCTGCATGAAACTTCAGAAACACAGAACACACGGAGATCTGTATTACACTAGACAGACATAGAACACATGGGAACCTGCATGAAACTTCAGAAACACAGAACACACGGATATCTGTATTACACTAGACAGACATAGAAAACATGGGAACCTGCATGAAACTTCAGAAACACAGAACACACGGAGATCTGTATTACACTAGACAGACATAGAACACATGGGAACCTGCATGAAACTTTAGAAACACAGAACACACGGAGATCTGTATTACACTAGACAGACATAGAACACATGGGAACCTGCATGAAACTTCAGAAACACAGAACACACGGAGATCTGTATTACACTAGACAGACATAGAAAACATGGGAACCTGCATGAAACTACAGAAACATAGAACACATGGGAACCTGCATGAAACTACAGAAACACAGAACACAAGGAGATCAGTATTACACTAGACAGACATAGAACACATGGGAACCTGCATGAAACTTCAGAAACACAGAACACACGGAGGCCTGTACTACACAAGACAGACATAGAAAACATGGGAACCTGCATGAAACTACAGAAACACAGAACACACGGAGATCTGTATTACACTAGACAGACATAGAACACATGGGAACCTGCATGAAACTACAGAAACACAGAACACACGGAGGCCTGTACTACACAAGACAGACATAGAAAACATGGGAACCTGCATGAAACTACAGAAACACAGAACACACGGAGATCTGTATTACACTAGACAGACATAGAACACACGGATACCTGCATGAAACTACAGAAACACAGAACACACGGAGATTTGTAATACACTAGACAGACATAGAACACATGGGAACCTGCATGAAACTTCAGAAACACAGAACACACGGAGATCTGTATTACACAAGACAGACATAGAACACATTGGAACCTGCATGAAACTACAGAAACACAGAACACACGGAGGCCTGTACTACACAAGACAGACATAGAAAACATGGGAACCTTCATGAAACTACAGAAACACAGAACACACGGAGATGTGTATTACACTAGACAGGCATAGAACACACGGATACCTGCATGAAACTACAGAAACACAGAACACATGGGAACCTGCATAAAAACTACAGAAACACAGAACACACGGAGATCTGTATTACACTAGACAGACATAGAAAACATGGGAACCTGCATGAAACTACAGAAACATAGAACACATGGGAACCTGCATGAAACTACAGAAACACAGAACACAAGGAGATCAGTATTACACTAGACAGACATAGAACACATGGGAACCTGCATGAAACTTCAGAAACACAGAACACACGGATATCTGTATTACACTAGACAGACATAGAAAACATGGGAACCTGCATGAAACTTCAGAAACACAGAACACACGGAGATCAGTATTACACTAGACAGACATAGAACACATGGGAACCTGCATGAAACTTCAGAAACACAGAACACACGGAGATCTGTATTACACTAGACAGACATAGAACACATGGGAACCTGCATGAAACTTCAGAAACACAGAACACACGGAGATCTGTATTACACTAGACAGACACAGAACACATGGGAACCTGCATGAAACTACAGAAACACAGAACACACGGAGATCTGTATTACACAAGACAGACATAGAAAACATGGGAACCTGCATGAAACTACAGAAACACAGAACACACGGAGATCTGTATTACACTAGACAGACATAGAACACATGGGAACCTGCATGAAACTACAGAAACACAGAACACACGGAGATCAGTATTACACTAGACAGACATAGAACCCATGGGAACCTGCATGAAACTACAGAAA